GGGGGGGGGGGGGGGCATGACAAAGGTGAAGCAATGCTTTCAAACTCAAACGCACCAAAGAAGTGAGGTTTATTGGGATCGTATTGGGCGAGAAACTGGCGCAGGTTGTCGACCACGACAAAGGTATCGTCATCGGCCTTCATGAACCAGTCGTGATCGTCGAGGTGATGTTGATACGTGTGAAGCCAAGCCAACCTACGTGTCATGTGGCCGGATCGACCAATGAGAGCTCTCAATCATATCATGCCTAGGGCATTGCTTTCAGCTGCGTTGGGCTTGGTGGGTTTGCTATTCTGTGACTGAAAGTGCGCCATGCTTGCTCAAACATTGGAAACTGATTACCAACTTGATTTTGGGCCAGAGGGTTTTACGGCTCTCATTGCGAAGACGCAGTAGAACCGTGTTCAGGCCCGGGTATGGCTCTGAAGTCATAAAGTCGAGCCGGTCCATGCGTAGACCCCAGCTGTGGCCAAAAGCGGGGGTGGCTGATGAGGTGGCGCGGTGCTTTGCTGACGCACTGCATTGGTGGAGAGACATACAGACTCTACTACTACCTGTTGTTGACAGCGATGGCCTTGGGGTCGTGGCGTTTAGGAGTAGTGAGAACAAAACAATAGATGCTTGGGTCCTTTTTGGCAGTCTGTGGGATGAACGGGCGGACGTGGGGAGGCCAAGTTGTGAGCAACAGATGCTGTGATCCTTACTGGCCAAGCTATCACACGTGCTGAGGACCAGAGGCAAACCTCATCGGGCGGGGTGCCATAGGGCGGCTCGTCCTTCATTGTGTTGAGGAGATAATCGGGGATGTCTTTAGGCTGGGTGGCAGGTGGATGTCGAATCGCTGCATCGTGCACGGCTTGTCCATCTGATGATGAGGGGAATCAGAGCGGCGATCAGACACATATGTGGTTAGGTAGCTCAAAGAGCGAGCCAGACCACCACCATCACGCAGATGCCGGCTTGAAACTGGTTGAGGGACGAACTGGCATGTTCCACAGGAGCTTCAAGCATATCGTGGAGATTGAGCTGGTCCAGCGCCTGCAGAGATGGTCGAGCGACCGAAAAAAAAAAAAAGCCAGGCAGTCCCGGTGATGAGGCAGAGGGCTAGAGAAGTCAAGGCATCACGGACGAGACCGTCGATTGATGATCATTCGTGTTATTTCGTACATTGGATACGGCTTGAGCCCGGTTGTTGTTGCTGCTTTCTCGCTTGATGACGTGTACAATGGGGTCGACTACATCATTCCGCAAGGGAGGCTGAGGTGAGGCGACGAGCGGAAGCGGGCAGAACGTCGCGGTTATGGCGGAGCCTAACACGAGCAGGCCTGACCATGTTGCGGATGCTGATGATGGGAGGCTTGTGCCTGCGGGAGGTGAGCAGAGGGTTGACGAGCTGTGGGAGGATTTGCCTTGTAGCCCTCTTGCATCAACTCATCCGCAATGGCTTGTATCTGCCGATTGGGATGATCAGAGATCAACTGTCAGTGTCATGATAGCATGTAGATGGATCGAGTGCAGACAAAAAGCCAGCCGCGAGGCACCCGGCGTGGGGAGGGGGGCTTACGGCAGGGTCGTCATCGTCGTGGTCCCCACGTGCCATGCGTTGCTGCTCCAAATGGAGTAGTGCCCCAACGGCCTGGGAATGGGGTGATGGTGGCAGTTAGGGTTAGTATCGCGCCATCAAGACGGGGCGGTCTGATCAAGGATGATAACTGGGTACTTGTCACACACATCAGCAATGACGTCCTGATTTATGCCGCGATCTTCGAGGCCAGGGGCGGGATCGGCACGGGCAGGTTGTGCTTCGCGAACAGCTGAGCGAAGATGCTGGGCCCCAAAGGTTTATGAGAGGGCGCGGAGCAGGAGCAGGGCGCCTCGTTTGGGTTGAGATGGGTGCTGGCGCCCTGACTGTACCTGAGGTGTCGCGCGATGGGTGTGACAGGCAAAGTGGGTGGAGATGGTGACACCCAGGTAGCCTCCGACCAAGAGGCATACCACGGCCAGCAGAATAGCATTGGATGTCAACCTAGGGTCAAGCGGTCAAAGCGGTGCGTTGTGCACGCCCCAGCGCCACATGGCGGGCCACACACAGCGGGGTGCGGTGAGGGTGAAATCGAAGTCAGGAGGTTGGTTGGTCTGACCTGGAATAAGCGGTCGGGTTCTGGCATCGATGCGTACTTGGCCATCACTGCGGGCACTCTGAGCTACCACGCGGGCTGCACCCGGGGCCCTCGAGCGAGGGAAGGAAGTTGGGTTGCCTGGGTCACAAGTTGCACGGCCGAGGCAGCACCGGCATCGTTTGTGGGTGGCACCCAGAAATAAGAAGGCAAGGACGTGCCACGCGACAAGTGATACGCGCAGCTGACTGACAAAATCTCAAGCCGATGCCGTCTCAGCAAAGCCAAGCAGGCAGGCAGGACGAACGAGCCAAAGTCTAAAAATTGATGACCGAATCTTGGAAATAAGAGAATCAGACGCGCCCAGACCGCTACCAGCTGACATCTTACATGCATGCATGCATTGTCTCGAAGGCACGAAGATTTGTGTCGACACGATCAGTGCTCTCTGTGTGCATGCTTCCAAGGTCTTTAGGTGGCTGACCGTGCTCGTGAGAACAACGCTCGATAGCGGAGCTCCAGAAAACTTTCTCGGGGTACAACAAGGAGGTGGATGGATCTACGCCTACATCTACTGGACCCGGGACTTCGAATGGCAGGGAATAGCTGGATTTCACACGCACACAGTGACTTGCACCATCTGGGCAACATCGTGGTGAGTTCTGGAAAATTGGGGGGTGTCAGGTGGCCGGCAGCGGCCTCCGTCGGAGCCACCGCCTTGCTCGTGGCGAGCCGTGTCATGGTATCACCGGTATGTAGGCAGTGGGCCTGGTGTAAATTTTCAATGCAACGAACGAAGTCGTATTGGGGTCCTTTGTGTACGCGAGTCTTCGTGAGGCGAGTGGACAAAGCTGATTGCCCCCTGTCGCGCTCATGTGGACCGCATGCTGCTAGTGGCGCAGCCCCGTTCCCCGCGTGTGTCGTTGCATCTGGCCACGCCCGACAGACAGATCACCTGTTGAGCCCGTGCGAGGTGGCGACGTGCTGCTTGAGTTGCGCGCGTTGCACACCACGGGCGTGGTCGCCCAGGGGCTAATTGGATGCCTTCAAGAGTTGTGCAGTAGATGCCGCCGGTGCTTGTTGGTGCTCGTCCTGTTCGATCCGACACTATCTTCCTTACACGCCATCGCATCGCAACGACTGTGTGTACACGCACGTGAGGATGATGAACAATTCAAAGTCTTTGCTATGAAAGGGTTTAAATCGGCCGGCAGGCACGTTGTCAGAGAAGCGCTGTCAGGTCGCCCAGGGGAGGGGTCAAAGATGACAGGTGGCAGTCGTGAACAGCCAGGGATCCCTGTCTCCTCCGAAGGTCAAGGGGTGAGGGGTGCTCGACGCCATCGCTGGCCTGTCAGGCCTCGGAGGATGACTTTCAAATCAAGACTGAAGGGTGACGCAGCGCCTCAGAGTCACCAGAACTTTCTGAGTGGATCCTGACACGGCAATGACAGGCCAAAGAACAGGCATCCCGAGGAACATTCAGGAATACAAGTATGGTGCAAGATTATTCAAGAATCACAGGAAAGGGCGCAAGCAAAAGGCTTGCACAGTGACCCATGGTAACGAGGAAGGCAAGCTTCCTGAAGAAGGCTGAATTGCTGAGGGATCTCAGTGTCACGCCACTCGTTGAGGACATTCCATGACGTTGATGGCTTGAGGGGCCAAGGCAAAGAAAGCGGTTGACACGCCTCAACGGTTGACGTTCGTTGGCATGTTCATGACAGGCAATTTAACCAACGACTTCGTTACCCAACTGCGTGATCTGCACCACATTGTCTCCAAACCATGGCGCCGAATGTCACGTTGATCAGGATAAAGTTGGATACTCCCATCACAAGTTACGACGTTGTGGGATGCGTATCGCACCACATCAGATTCTCTGCGTGATTCCTGAAGGATTTCCAATCAAGGGGTGCCGCGAAGGCCTTTGTTTGTCCCTGGTGCCATCAAACGTGGTGCAGAACCACGGCCACATGGGCTTTTGTTTGAAAAGGGGAAACAGATGCTTATCCCATGTGTATCCCATTGACATGTGAGGCATGGTGATGAATCAAATCACGAGCTCGCAGCGTGTTCCACTTGAGTCCCCTTGACCCACACTGCGGGGGTGTGCATCTGGGGTCGCAGGCATTCAAAAAAAGGGCTTGCGTGTGGGTCCAAGAAGGATGTGGGCGTTGCTTCTGCTGTCGCTTCGTGTGTCTTCCTTCCTCCGTCAACCACAAGGGCCTGCGCCATGCGCCATCCGCTTACCCCCTGTTATACATGTCTTCCTTTTTTATTCTTTTTGCTTTCTTCTCTTTTCTCTCTTTTTCTTTTGTTTTCCACCCACCCCCCTTTTCTCTCTCTCTCTCTCTCGCTCTCTCTGTCTGCTGCCATGCTTGTGCTCACGACGACGCTTCTCTCGAAACGTCGCCGCAAAGTCGGTCATTTTCTTCCGATTCACCCTCCCTCGCGACAGTCGTCTTGCCCCCCCCCCCTTCTCGCTGCATCTTGACCCTTTTGGCTTTTGCCCCTTTTTCTACACGACCACCGCTGCCACCTTGGTTCGAGCAAGCTAGAGTTCAAGGCAGTCCCCACCGCGAGTGGGCTGCATTTTTTTCTTTGCTCCTCAAGTCGACACCACCCAGTTCTCTTCTTTCTCTTCCTTTTCCTTCTCTCGGCGGTCGGCATTTTCCTCCGCACACTCTTCGTTTTTTCCGTTTGGTCTTTCACCGCCACCACGGCGCCCACCAACCCGGCTCCTCTTGTGCTGCCTTTACACCCAAGCGAACTACCTTCGCCCGCGCGAATGGCGGCAAAGGCTCGGGTCAGCGACTGGGAACCTTCGGCCATCGCTGCTGTTGCCAACATTAACACCAACGCCGTCCCCACTTTGGACCAACCCCTGGATAGCGCCAACTCGCTCAGCTGCAGCGAAGATTCAAGCCTGCCCAGCCCGGCCATCCCCACCCTCACGCTTGACCTCACCGCTACCCACCCCACCGCTAAAATGGTTTCTCGTCCTTTTCCCGTGTTGAAGATGACCACCTCTGGCACCAGCAGCGCCAGCAGCTCGACGGCCTCACGTTCCCCCACCAGTTCGGCTCGCCCTTCCTTGGTGGCCATGCGTCGCGGCAAGCGTCATCTCCCCAAGCTCAACCTGGCTTCCATCTCCAACGCCATGGGCAGCGGCGACGAGGACAACTTGTCGCCCGATTTTATTGGTGACAGCGATCGTGTGATCTCTCGCACGCGCAGCGCCAGTGCCCCCCTCCCCTATGAGTACAGTCTTGCCAGCGGTCCTTTTAGTCCCGAGAGCCTGCCCTCTCCTTCCTGCCCCACTTCTCCCCACAACTTTGAGAGCATCACCTGCCTCGATGCACGCCACACGTTGATGCACTCGGAAGCCCTTCGCAGCACCGAGGACCTGCAGGAGGAGGAAGACCTTCGCGAGGTCAACTGGACCCAAACCTCGCTCGATCTCATGTTTGACACGGCTGTGGAACATGGCTCTGATGTTGCTGCCAACCTCTTTGATCCAGCCCTCAATCCCGTCCAGCAGGGCTCGGTCCTCAATTCCCTCGTCTGAGCCCCGCGTCCAAAACCCTCCCGGGTTGGGCGCCCGCGCTCGCTTCTTGAGTTGCTTTCCGTTTTAGATTTTCTTGATTTCTCTTTCCTACCGTCCTGATTTCCCCCCTTTATCTTCCGATCCCATCGACCTTCATGCTTCCTTTTCCTTTTCCCTGACGTACCCCGGTGTGTTGCGCGTGAGCGACGCGCATGTACAGCAAGTTAAGCCGCTTTGGCATTGATGTCTTTTGTTTCTTTTTGGTTGAGTTGTTGTCTACTCTTTTTCTCTTTTTCAGGGTGTCTGCCGACGCCATCCCTTGAGTCTAGCGGTGTGCTTGACGGTGAAGTGGAGACCCGTCCTGGCTTCTTCTTGGTATCAAATCAATAACACCATGCATCCAGTGATCACCAGCCGTGCTGGGTTCACATGCATGCGCGTGTCAAGGGTTTGCTTGCCTGGCCTGTATTGCAGGAGCCTTGCCTTTTTTTTTTTTGTGTGTGTGTGTGTCTTGTTTCCTTTTCTTGAGTTGTATCTCCCAAGCCACCTGAGACACCTTCCCTTTTTTTTTTGTCCAGCTCGTTACCAAACTCAGAGAGTTTGGTTCTTAATCGACAAATCTTGATTTGAACAACATTCTAGCCTCTCCTCTTAACCGCTAGACACTCTCACCCGGTTTCCCGACTCAACTCATGTCTAGACCGAGGTTGCTCACACAACACGTCTCGGTTTTGGTGCCCAACCTCTTGAACCTTGCCCTACTCTGGCAGGGTTCAAGCTAATAAGAAAACATTAAGACTGCGAGGCAAGATACAAGGGTTTGGGACACACGCGCCGATGATTATGACAGGCCCCCCAATTCTTGTTGCTCACATGTCAGGCACGAACAGAGCCTTGCTTCCGCGCCAAACGAGTCAAGTGCACACACAGGTCAAGTGATTCCGATCGTGGCGGCGTGCTCGCAAGCTTTGGCACCACCTCTTTGTTTTCTTGCTGTGAGTGAGTCCATCATACTTTTCCTGCGCGATTCTATGTGTGTGCGTGTGCGTGTGTGTGTGTGCGTAGTATGTGTGACCCACCTTGTAACATGCGGATCGCTGTGCAGTGCACCCTCCCGACACACCCCCGCCTTTTCTCTCCCCAGACCTCGACCTGGATCGGATGCTTGGATGGTGGGCAAGAACAACGAGAGGAACGCCCTGTGAGTCACCCATGTTGTGAGTCACCATGTTGAAATAATTTAAAAATTCAGAACAGCGGTATGGCGCATAGTCCGCGGGTGACGGAGCCCGTGCGTCCCACTCATCCAGGTTTTTGGTTCTTGTTCTTTGTCCAAGCCCATCGCACCCAAGACCACCACGTTCAAGAGGAACTTGCCTCGTCTTCGCTATTCCCATGTGATCCCAACAGGGCTGCCTCATACCAAAAGAGGAGGAATGTCTTTGGTGCTACCACCTGCCACCTGCGTACCGCCCCAAACCCAACCCCAAATGGGCACACAATAATCTGACAAGACAATTGTCATACATTTCGATGATTATGAATGTATTTTTCACTGAGTTCGCCAACTGGTTCAAAGTGTGCTTATTGGCGCAGTTTCGCATAACCACCCGACCAACACGATGGCTTTGGCATGGTTGCGCTCGTCCATGACCACCCTGGCGGCGCCGGGTGCGACTGCCGTGGCTGTCGCTGCCCGCTCCTCGGCCCTGTCCGGTTCGTCCTTCGGGCAAAGGGTTTCTTCGCGGGCGAACATGTTCTTTAGTTTTCCCATTGATGGCCAGAAAAAGGGTCTTTTGCTTGTCTCGGGCTTTTTTTTTTCTGCTTTTTTTTTTTTTTTTTTTTTCGCCATCAGGGCTTCTTCTGAACCTGCGTGATGCCGAGTCGACTTGATAATGCTCACGATCGTTATTTTTGTTTTGTTTTGTTTCGTATCCTCTGTTAGCCATGGGCGTGGGTCCTGCCCAGGCCCTCGTCACTGTGCGAGAGGCCTCCAAGAAGGCGGGCGGTTCTTCCAAGAACGGACGCAAGACGGCTGGTCGTCGTCTGGGCCTCAAGCGCTATGAAGGTGCGCTCGTACCCTGCAGTTTCCTGACCTTGCTCTGTATGCCTCGGCCCACTTCATTCACAAAAAATGGGCTGCTGCAGGTCACCAAGTACCCGTGGGCAACATTCTTGTCCGTCAACGAGGCACCCAGTTCCATCCCGGTCTCAACGTATGTACTTCCCCTACCTCAGCGCTAGCGCCACCGAGCGCAGTGAAGAAGGAAGCACCCACCCGCACCCAGCTCATTTGTTACCCTTAAAAATGCAGGTGGGCATTGGCCGCGACCACACGCTCTTTGCCCTGGCGCCCGGCTATGTCAAGTACACGTCCAAGAAGATGGCTGGCAGTGGCAAATGGTGAGCCAACTTGACTACTTGAGCGTGGCGGCCTTACTTTGAATCGGCGAAACACTCATCCATGACCAACCCCTAGGCGTAAATTCGTGCATATCCTGCCTTCCTCGGCTGACCTCCAGGCTGCACAACAGGGCAAGGCCGTTCTATAAAGCCTGTCGTCGAGCCAATCCCTACCGTTTCGGCTCGGTAGTGTTGCCCTCTCTTTGACCACATTTGGGGCTCAGACCCTGCCCATATCTCATGTGGCCCCATCTTATCCCTGTCCGTTGGATGCGGGCAGCCCTTGAAACCGACGCTTTCGTCTTGCCCACAGTTGTCAATTGTGTGGCCATACCTTGGAGGACGTTTGCTTTGCGAGCCGACCTACCTTTTCGCTCCTGTTTCTTCGTGTTTGTGAGGAGAAAAGATCTCCGTCTCGTCTGCTTTTCCGTCCTGTGGTTTGGGTTGCGTGTTAGCGTCTGTATTCACGCGCGCGTGGCCGCCGTTTTCTCCTGCTGGTGTTTCTCATCTCGGGGTGGCGCTAGGCATTCCAGCCCGGTCGGATTAGACCCAGCAGCCTGGCGGGTTTGCCACTGCACTTCTCAGTTAATTGACCGACCGTGTCGCTTCATCACACTTTTCAATGTCAATTCGTCCCCGCCACGCCCAGCGTGTTACGACGGTGCCGCAAAGAACAGGATGGAGTTTAGGCCTGGCTTTCGTCCCCGATGAGGGCTGTCTCCAATGACTTGAGTAGGACACGTGTTGCCTGCATTCATGCACATCCAATCAAGCCAGCAGTAGTAGCCCAATGAGGGCAAGCACAAACAAACTGGATCAGCGGTCAATAGTCTAGTCAGCAATAACAGCCACAGCAGGATCACACCTTGTTGGCTGGTTCGAGCTGTAGCAGGGTACGGCAGGTCCCCATGGCAGCATCCATCTGATTGAGATCTCGTAGTGCCATGGCCTTGCGATATAAGGTCTTGATGTGTGCCTCATCCAGCCGCAATGCCTTGACACAACCCAGCAAACCAGAAACCGGTCTACCATGAGCCTGGGCCAAAGGGGGGGCACGTGGGGGTATCTAGACCTGATCCCTTGCATCACCTCGTTGGTTAGCTGCAGGGCCGTGTGGGGCCACTGAGCTCGCAAGGCAGACATGGCGCCATTGGATAGCAGGGTGACGCGCTGTGCAATGTCCCGCTCACCATCATGGAAGCATGTCAGAATGAGACCAGGATGGGTGCGGGCGTTTCTGTCTGCGCACGACGAGGCGAACCAGCACATGTGGAGAAGTGACTCACGCACCATTTCATCGTCGCGGGCGCGGAGGATGGCCTGCTGGTAGCACTGGAGGGCCAGGGCATATTCACCGCTCTGAAAGGCCTTTGCACCCAACGCCTTAAACTGACTCAATCCCCCTTCCACATAGCTCCGCGGGGCCTGCCGTTGCTGCGACCCATGAACAGCGACCACGCCGGGCATACATGATTTCAGTCAGGCCACCATCCTGAAGATTGAGGCGCATCAAGTTCTCCGCCGGGCTTGGCATGTTCATCCAGCTTACATACCCGAGTATCAATGTTATGAAGGCGAAGCAAAACACCAAAAATGGTTTGCCCTGGCATGAGGCCGGGAAGTCCAACGGAGCCATGAGCGTGTTCGGGACGGCACGTCACATCCATGGTCTGTCCAACCACCATTTCACGAAGCGCATCTTCAATGGCCTAGCAAGCACAGGCAGAACATCAGCAGCCGGGTCGGGGGGGTGCTCGCGGGGGTGCCTCAAGAGTTGGTACTTCGTACGGGGATGAGCAGGTCAGCCCCAATTTGGGTGCGGACAGGCTGTACTGATTCTTGAATTGTTTGCTGATCTTGACCATAGGCACGCTGCGGTGTCACCAAATGGGGTGGCGGCGATCCATCAACAGCGAGAAGGCCAAACTGCGTGCCCAAGGCCGATGAGACGGGATGCTGACACAAGACGTACGTAGCTAAACGAGACGACGTCACCGCGACGCGGTCGCAGAAGGTGCCGTGGCAAACCTGCTTCCTTCTACACATCACGCGTTGGGTGATGGGGGCGGGCAGATGCCAGGGTGGGCACCCGTGAGACAAGCAAGCATGCAACCGGCAGCGCTGCACTTTGAGGCGATTCGCTTGCCTGAAACGACTGAAGATCCTCGTCAGGGTCGGCGTTGGCCATCTCCTCGGCCATGCGCTGTAATGACACCATCAATTCTTGTGGGGACTGCATCTTGACTCCAGCTCGTTTCCAACCCGCCCCTGTCTTGCGCCCACAAGCTATCGGACATTTGATTCAACAAGGCCGCCTTGACCTTGACCTGAAGCCGATCGATGTCGAGCCGAGCCGAGGCGTCAAAAAGGAGGATGCCTTCTGCTGCATCTGCATCTTCTTCACTATCTGCTTCATCTTCCTCTGTCCTTTTCACCATAGCTTCCCATAGATCCAAGTATACTTCTGCTACAACCTATTGAGATACTGCATCTTCTTCATCCAATCTGATCTCTATTCTGAATTTGTGCTTTCCAAGTTGAAGAAATCTGACAATTTCTATTCTGCGGACCCCCCCCTTGAGGACATGAAGCCGAACAGGTGTTCCGCTCCATCACACACTTCTCTTGGCGCATTGGCGCATTGGCAATCAGATCTGCTGCGGCTGCTTCGCCTCGGCCTACGGCTGTGGTTTCTCTTTGACTGGTCGCATGTGCACCCACCGATGTTTGCCTCCAGATCGCAAAAGGCCCCCTCGTGCCTGCATGCCCAAGCTAAACACGACCACATCACCAAGACTCGGGGGGTGGAGCCCTTCCTTGTCCATGCTTGCGGGGCGCCTGTCCTCTTCCCCTTTCTTCCTTTAGAGTTGTTGTGAAAGCGTTGGTGAGCGCCCCGCCCGCTTTCTTCCCTTGCTCCCACCCTGCTAAGCTTCGGATTGAGGACGAACACGTCTGAAGACCCATTTTCGTTGATTCGCATCCACTCCAACCAGCTGCACACCCTGCTGCCTCGTGTGGTGTCGTGGCATCGAGACTCGTCGCGAGTTTTCATCATCCTTGCCACCTTCCCGTCCCCACCCCTGTGTCCTTTGTGCCTCTTCCCACCCTTCTTCACGACTCTGACCCACGGTTGCGGTCCACCGGCGCCATGTCAACCTCAAACTTTCTTGACAAGGATTTTTACATCCTGCTCGGCATCATTGCCGCACCCACGGTCACCATGCTGGCTGGCTCAGTGGCAGCCTACCTCTCCCAGCCCTCAGATCAACTTCGATCCATCGTCAGCGCCCTTGCAGGTGGTCTCTTGCTCGGCTCAGTGGCCTTTGAGCTCGGGCCCCTCCTCGTGCGGCCGGCTGAACATGACAAAAACTGGAATTTCGGTATATTGGCTGGTTGCTTCATCTCCTTCTGCACCATCATGATCCTGGACTGGATTGGCAGCGTCCTCGATCCTGATCAAGAGTCTTCTCCAGCCGACGATGCCGGCGAGTTTGCACCCCATAGCCTCGAGGAGCATGGCTCCATGAGCTCTCTCAGTGACGGATCAATGTCTCAGCGACAGCCCCTGAATCCTCCCTCCCACTGGCAAGGGGAGCGCCCTTCGGTGCTGCCCCGCTACCACCCGAACCCCTCTCATCGCCGAATCATGAACACACACCGCATTCAGCACCACTCTGACAGCTCCCTCATCATGCATACGGACGCAGTTCGTACGCGCGCACGGGCCTTCCGCCTTGGCCGCCGACGCATCTCCAAGCTCCCGCGTGGCCTGCGTCGCGGCACTCTTGACAGCATCAAAAACGTCGACGTCTTCCAGCCCAGCACACCGGCCAAGGTCATTAAGACGCCGCGAGGCCCAGGAGAACTCCAACCCCTGCTTGAGGCAAGCGGATCCCACCTCGACTCAACCGTCGCGTCATCTCGAGGGCAGCAGCTGGACACCTCACACCACAGCCAAGCCCCGTCGGCACCCTATCCCATTGGCCCTGTGGTCTTGGTCTTCATCGACGGCATTTCGGATGGCCTCACCATGGGTATCACAGAAACGCTCGGTGTCACACAAGGCATCATCCTGGGCATCTCCCTTGCCGTTGAAATGGCCTTTACAGGCGCGGCCCTGGCTGCCATTCTCTCAGATCGTGGTACCAGGCGCACTACTTCACTCATCACCCTCACCGTCGTCCCCTTCTCCATGCTCATTGGGGGCATCCTGGGTCGGTTCTTGATGATGGAGGTGGATGAAGCCTCGCCCGTCTTTGCCGGCTTTATGAGTTTTGTCGTTGGTCAGCTTTTTTACCTGGCAACTGTAGAACTCATTGGCGAGGGCCATGCCATTGTCAATGACCTCGGCAAGGCTGCCTTCTCCCGCTGGTTCGACGTGGCCCTGTTATTTGGCTTCATGGGCGAACTCATGGTGGAAATCTTCCTGGACTAGCGCCATGCGAACCAACGAATAGCATTGTCATCATAGCTGCCCCGAAACAAATACTTGTACGGACAGGGCACGAGCCTGTTGGTTGGCTGGTGATGGGCTCTGCTTATTCCCATCGAGTCTGGGCAACGGATCTATCGTGCGTGCCTGTCTTTTCCCATTTTGTTTGTTCTGCCAAGCGGAACGCTGACGTCCAATTCATTTTAATAGATAGATAGATGCATGAAGATGAACCTGTCAGAGTCTTTTGTATCTCACTCAATTGTCACGCCACTTCATTATGCACCTCCAAAGAAAAAGACGAGGTCGGGAGAAGAAGCCGGGCTGACGGTTTCCTGGCTCGCCTCAGTCACACTGCCCGCCTTGGGCAGAAAAGACGACGCTCACAATTTGGTCATCTTGTGCCACGATGCACTCTTGTACAATGACGCGTCCATGGATCCAAGCTGCCACGCGCAAGATCTCGCCCGCCGTCCCAACCATGTGGGCCGTGGCACCAGTGGCGTACGCTTGCACCTCAACAAAGCGCCGTGCACTGAGGGGGACATACTTTCCCACTTCACCCAACACAGCGATGCCACCAGCAGGGTAGGGTGTGATGACATACAGGTCAAATCCCACATGGTCTGTAGAGTTCAGGTGGTTGGCTGGAAGTCGCAAGGATTGGGAGGCGTTGAAGTGCAGCGGGGCGGCGTTCAAAGCTGGAGTCCAATGCTGCACGAGGAACTGGCCGCTTGCCTCCAGATCTCGCAGCATGCCCAGCTCCAGCTCAAAGGCGGTCAAAAGATCACCCACAAACACCACCAGTTGCTGTGGTGCCGTGATATTGGGCCCAGCCGGCGCCGCCCACACCTCACCGGCCGGGGCATGGGTTGTGAAGCTGACCTCTAGGCTGGTTGCGGGCCGATTCGGGCTGAGGATGGTCCCGTTGGCCATCATGGTGCGGTTGACGATGGTGATGTTGGTCATATTGATCATGTCACCAATGGCAACGGGTCCTGTCGAGAGGGTGGCGACGGCGGCTTGCATTTCTGGGTTGTATTCTGGCGCAAGGTCAAAATTCAGGGGCTCAAAGGTCGTGGTGCGGAAGACGTCCTTGAACGGCCGAAGCCCCATAGCCCAGGCAAAGAGCGAGGGTGCTCCAATCTTCCACTGATTGTAGGGGTCCGAGGCATAGTCGTTTGAGACGCGAATTTGTGTGACCGCAGGAAACTGGGTACTGGCCAGGAAATCAGAGGGCAAAGGCATGCAGTACTGGACGCGGACGTGGCGGGCCGAGGCAGCTTGCGCCATGCCAGCCAGCCAGTTCCAGGCCACGGTGAGGTTGGATTTGGCCACATCCATCATTTTAAATTGATTGGTGAGCCAATCCTGCTCGTAGACAGCCAATCCCCAAGCAGAGTGGTTGCGCATGATGTAGCCAAAGAGTGCGGCCACTTCATCTACCGAGCCAATGGGAATGGCACCTAGCCCCTGGGTGGCAAATTGAAACTTCTCCTGGTAAACATTGTGGGAAGACCACCAGCGGTTGTGAAGGGTCAGGGGCTTGCGCACGCCGACTTGGACGGCCTCGATGCCTCCGGGGAAAACCTGCGGGCGTGGCTCCCAGCGCTCCAAGCCCCCATCAAACTCAAGGTACTTGTAATACCTGAACCACAAGAGGCGAACAATTGAGGGCACGAGCAGCAGCTAGCACAGTCGCACCAGGTGGTAAGCACGTACCACCACGAGTCCAGTTGATAGCTTTGGACAGGAAGGTTGACCTTGCGATGGTAGTCGGCATAATCGATCAACGTTTGCTGATAGGAATGACTCTGATCCATCCAGTAGTCTGCCAGCAGGCGAAAGCACGAAGACCACAGGAGGAAAAGCACGTGAGGGATCAAACGATTCAGCGAGAGTCGTTCCACGTTTGAGCAGCCCCCGGGCCCATGCCGCATTTGGCCGAGTGTGACACAAAGCCTGCCAAAAAAAGAGCCAGGCCACATACAGTAGTAGGCACCGTTGTCGGTCCATGCCGAGAGTGCTGTGGCCGTGACGTCCTGGGCATCCGCGCTGCGGGTCTTGTTGCCTTGGAGGAGTAAGGCGTCCCCCCATGTCTGGAGACCCGCGTGAAGTCCCTCTGTATGAGTGGCAAGAAGGAATTTGATTGAGGTGTTGATGGGAATCTCAAGCGTCATGCCGTTGAGGCCACCGCAAAACGTGTTTGGTGCGTGTGAGCTCGTTGTAGAATGGATGGCCACCTTCAAATGATTGAACGGGGAGAGGACAGCCACATCAGTAATTGGGGCCCCTGGTGCCTGGGCCGTGGTGGGGTCTTCGTACAGGACCAAAGGAACGCCACCCTCAACATCGCTGCTGAGATTGCCCAGACCTTGCTGGCGCACCACATTGCCAAAGATGTGATGCTGATAGAGCAGGTTCAGGTCTGGAGCTCGCCCCGAATGCAGCTGAAAGCTGGGAAAGCAGGTGCTTGGATCGGCATTATTTCCCGTGCTTGCATTAGTCACAGGGGTCAGATATATGGTTTCAAAGCCGTAGAGGCCTTCACGCTGAGGATAGGCAGCAATGGCCGTTTCCACCACGGGGACATTGTTGTGCTGCCAAGTATTGACGATCGCCCAATAGCAGCCGAGGCGGTCGCAGCCCGATACGTTCTGTGAGTTTGCCAGGGTCAGCACGCCACCGCTATTACTATCGGCATCGGTTGAGAGCCAGCCCTAGAAGCACCCATGCCGTTCGCGCGTTGGTGAATGGATCGGAGGCAGCAGCACGGTAGCCGAATGTCAATTGTCATGACCCTGGCGATGGATCGAGGGCAGCGTGTGTCTAGCATGCTCAGACCTGGTCGGTGTGCAAGCCAAGTGGTCCGGACTGCAGCCACAGTGAGCCGTCGGTGGTTTGCAGTTGGTAGGTTCCGTCGATTCCGTAGCGAGTCAGATCCACTTGCAAGCGAGCAACGGCGCTGGCTAGCACGAGAGCCCCTACCAGCCACCGGAACCCCCGACAACCCACCGCTGCACCCCCATGGCCATGGGATCGCGCTCCTTGCCGTACCATCGCCCCGCCTCCCCTCTATCCAAACACACAACACCACCCGTGCGCGATGGCCACCACCTCCACTCCCTCTCTCCAGCAGCAACAGCAGCAGCAGCAGCACAGTTCCAATCAAGACCACAAAATAAATCACCCATTCACTCCTCCCGCTCCCGTCACTTTTATCTGACAAATCCCATGTGCATACACACACACACACACACACACACTTTGCGATCGTTTCCTCCAAAACCTTTTTTTGAGTTCTTCGTTTTTGTGTGTGTGTGTGTAGTGTGTGTTATTTCCTTTCTTGTTGGAGACGGCAGCAGACCGGTCAGTCGAGGCGCGTGTTGGTGGGTCCTTTGAGGACATCAGGCACTGTGAGGGGAGGGAGGCGGGTTGATTTGTGGACCAAGCTGTGTTTGTAGTGGGCCTGTGTTTGATTCACAAGCTGGATCGCCTTTGCAGTTTGACCTTTCCCGCGCATCAACCATCAACATGTTCAAGCTGTGCATGCTTGCGGCGGTACGACACTGCCTTGCTTGCTCCACTGGTCCCGCGTGCCTTGCTGATCGCGATTCCCGCGACCGATTCTGACGTTCTCTTGATGTTTCATGTTGTGTCTTTAGGCCACCTTGGCACTGGCTGCTGCCCAGGATCCTGCCGAGGGCTGGATGGGCTACGCCAAGGGCGTGTCGCCCCGTGGCACCGTAAGCAACACTGCGACCTTGCCATTTGAAACTTGTCTGCTGCCCTGATCCCAACTCTGCATACCCTCATATCTTTTTTCGTGAACAGGGTGTTATCACCCATGCCGAGGCCAAGTGGAAGGTTCTGAGCAAGCCAAACAACGCTGCCAACGCCTTCTATTCCCCCTGGTTTGGTATCGAGAGCTCAGACAACCTCAACCTCATCCAGCCCGTCAACCCTTGGACTGGCCGCGCTTGGTACGCACTCCGGCCCCTTCTTCTTCGATTCCATACCCGACGCCCCGCTTATCAAGTGTCTGTGAGACAAGAACAACAAAAAACCCGATCATGTGAACAACCACAGACAAAAACTTTGGAGATCACGAGCGTCATCGGCACTCACCTGCCCAATCACTTGCGCGCACTTTTATAGGCAAATGTACATCGAGTGTATGTGAACGCAAATGGAATGTGGAATGGATACCAACCTTGTAGACGTTGCCGTCCCGGCCATACACTCACCGATACTTGCCGCACACTTCCTCAGATTTCCAGTGGGAACCCGAGCATAACGAGAATAGCCAGGGCCATATCGTGTCCCCTGGCGATGTGCTCCACGGTGTCATCGACCTGGACCAGAGCAGCCAGACCTACATCATCTCGCACACCAACCTGAACACGGGCTGGAACGTGAAGGTCTGTCCCTGTGGCCACTGCACCCCGTGCGCTGGGTCCCACCCCTCGATACAACACTGATTCGGCGCTTTTCCGGCTTGCATCGCGCACAGACGCAAATTCCGGTTCAGCGCAAGCTGTCAGGCGAATACAAGGAGTACACCATCCTGTACTTTGTCTTTGAGAAGACCTTTGCCTGCCACCAATACCCCGCCGAGGAGGTCGTCACCTTTTACGACATTGCCGTTCAGTACGACAACCAGACGGTCCGTACGCTCGAGGGCAGCTATGATCCGTCCCTTTCTGGATCGCCGTGTCGGCTCCCGCTCAAACTTCCCCGCATATCGAAACACACTGGCAGGTCGCCCCCACTTGGACGACTGCGTATGTCGATGACAACTGCAACAACCGCGCCCACATCCTCAACGAGTTAGTAGCCCACCCAACTGCTGTGCCCTGGCCTCTCACACGCAACGTGCAATTTGACCAATGTCTCACTCTGCCTTGATGCATCTTGCTTAGAACTACCATCTCCATCACCTGGGATACCTCCATGTAAATGTGTGTCTATTTCAGACGCTGGCCTTCAGCAACACAGGGGCCGGCTGCGTACGACACACCCATGCCCCTCCTCCCCCCCTTTCTTTTTTCTTTTTTGCGCTGACTGCGGCTTTCGAAGTGGGCAAGTCTCCCTTGCCATACACAATTCAACACCTAGAGGTGCAATTTTGTTGGCATGTACCTGTACATGTTGCTGCTGTGCTGTGCCATTCGTACACTCGACAAAGCAATCCAAAACCATCTCACCGACCCCCCACCCCGATTTATGACACATCTCTGTCCTCCTTTTTGCAATTCTGCCTGACATTGTTTTTCACCCAAAACCTAAAAAAAAAAAAAAAAAAAAAAAAAAAAATCGCACCCGCACCACCTCCAAGACCCAGTTGCAAGATCGTTGACACGCTGTGCAATTCTTCACCACCACCACCACCACCACCACTTACGCCCTCATCGGGGGTTGCTCCAGAGATTTCAAAGACGTCGCACACGGACGTGGTGCAATACACTTGGCGTTTGCCCTTTGTCGTTTTCCGTTTGTCGTTTGTGATCCTCAGCGGGCAGAGCGCGTGCGGAGTCGGGTTGGCAACTGGGATTGAATCAAACCCGGCAGCATGGCAAGGATGGTGAACCAGTGCACAGTCGCTGCCCGGCTTGTCCGACTCGTGCTCGGGCTTGCTGTGATAAGGTCGACACTTGCATTAGATGTCTTTGTTGCTACAGATGGCTCAGACGCCAACAGCGGGACTCAGACAACACCTTTTGCCACCGTGGAGCGGGCCCTGGTAAGCTTTCTCCGCCCTAATTCGCTGCGACACGGACAGTCGCTAGCTGCACCGCATCGTCAGATATTGTCGCATGGCTGTCACCCGCGCGACCGAAACCGGGTCTTCTTTCTGCATGTTGACCTACCATTGATGCGCGTAGGCAGCTATCCATCAAAACGCCACCGCTAGCACCAATACCATCAACCTCGAGAGCGGTACCTACTACCTGCCAACCCGTGAGTCAACAATCAATATCAACTTGACCACCGCTGGTTTGAACCAGCAGCAGATGGTGATTCAATCAGCCACACCCCATGACCCCGCGGTGAGTTCTGCTTGGAATGATCGCAAAACAGACCCCCTTTTGATCTCCAATGCAAAGTGCTAGCCATCTCCTGCGCTGCGCCCCCGCCTGTTCTCACGCGGCTGCTCTAGACCTTGAGCGGAGGCATCCTGGTGACCAACTGGTCCAAAACCAGCCAGGGCTTCTATGAAGCTGACCTCTCAGCTTGGAAGCCTCGGCAGGTCCTGCAACTTTGGGCCAACAATAAACGCCAGCGCCTCGCACGGACCTCAACCCTGACATACCTTGCAGCCAACGCCAATGGTTTTACCGTGCGTCCCGAGGATCTCACGGCCGTCCCAGACGATCTCTCCCAAGCTCAAGCTGTCATGTTTGAGTCTTGGACAGCCAGCATCCACACTCTCCGTAGCATTGATCGATCATCCGGCAACATCAGCTTTTACACACCGTACAACGCCCAATGGGCTTCGTCCGCCGCCGGTGCTCGCTTCTATTGTACGATTCTAAGCCACCATGATTGGACTGCCCCCTCCCAAACCTGCTTTTGTCTCTGTGAAGTAGTCTCATGTATCGTTTATTCGTGCCTCTAGTCCAAAACACCATGGAGGCTTTGGATCATCATGGCGAATTCTTTTATAATGCTTCGACATACCGCCTCACTTGGTACCCCTCGCCAGAGTTGGACCTGTCAACTGCCACCGTCGTGGTTCCTCTTCTCACCGAGGTAAGGCTGATCAGGGCGCTCACCTTTTTCGCGAGTGTACCAACGCGGTCAGCATGGGGCCACGTGTTTCACAAAACGGCTCTGTGCTGGTATAGCTGGTGACGATCAAGGAAGTGCACAACATTGACTTTGTCAATCTTCAGTTCCAACACGCTGCTGTCGACCTATCCGTTTGCCTTGCTACCTCCTGTGACATGCAGTCGGCGGCCTTCCTCAACTCGAGTGCCCTTCATATTACCAGTTAGTCAATAATTTGCAGGCAGCACTGAAGCGCTCCCATCGCGTTTGCCAGTTGATGGCCCCACAAGCTCTGAAACCGCGGCATTGTGTTTGGTGTGCATGGCTTGACAGATTCAAGCAACGTCAACTTTTATAACACCAACATTAGCCACGTCGGTGGTTATGCATTGTGGTTTGACGAGGTGAGTCTTAGCGCCCCACGACTCTTGGTCGGCATTACCTCTACCAGACAACCCCTCCTGGCTGTCCATCACCTGTCAACGTCTGAAAGTTGTCGCGCCACAATGTCACTTGGCCGAAAAACAAACAAACAAAAAAAATAAAATTATAAAACATAGGGCACACAGGATTCGAGCATCAGCAAGAGCCATGTGAGTGACCTTGGCGCAGGTGGCGTGCGCGTTGGCACCAGTGATGGCGGTCTGGTAGATCCCCAACGACTCGTCTCTGGCATTTCTGTAAACAATAACATCATTGAGGTATCGTTTTCCCGCCTTTTTTCCAACGCCTTCCCTCTTGCTTCTTGACTCGCGATGACGATGTTCAAAAGTGAGCGGTCACTTGCACGCCAGTAGTTCACCACCGATGTGTTTCGTGGACACGTTTTGGGCCTTGTCCTCTTCAGGATGGAGGGCATTTCTATCTCGAGGGATGTGGTGTATTGGCTCAGGCCACGGCGCAGACCAACATTGTGCAAAATCTGATCCGCAGATTCAGCTACACAGGCGTGTCCCTCGGATGGACTTGGACCTATGCCGAAACCAGCAATCGCAACAACGTGATTGCGTTGAACAACATTGACACGATTGGGCAGCACTTGCTGAGCGATATGGGCTGCATCTACCTTCTAGGACATCAGCCGGGTACCAAGATTGACCACAATGTATGCGCACGAGTGTACAGCTACAACTATGGAGGCTGGGGCCTATACACGGACCAAGCCTCACGGGATATCACGCTGACGAACAACATTGTGTATCAAACAAAGTGTGCCGGCCTGCACCAACATTTTGGCCTGAATAACATTTTCATGAACAATGTCTTTGCTGATGTGGATACCTGGAACTGTGACGGTGGCATCCGGTATGAGACCCCGCGCACCTCGTTTTGGGCCTGTTCGCTGCGTGTGACACGCAATCTTGGGGCCCTTGAAAGGTTCAAGGGCCGACCAAGTGGTTTCGCTCGGTGCTTGCCATTGAGTTTCTGGTGTGCGATTGATTGCCCTTGTGGGGTGATGTTCACAGGTCAAGCCAGCATGCTGGCGTGTGCAACGCGTCTGCCCCTGATGGTCCGTGTTCAAGCTTTACATTCTTCCGCAACATTCTTTATTTGAATGATGGCCCCGTATTCTATAGCACCATCCCCACCGGCTTTGAGGTGAGCAAAGGGCTGACCTCTTGTCAAGGGATGCAAGTGGTGCAAAGCTGGTTTTGCAGTGGATTGCGTACTTGGGCCACCCCTCATCGTAGAGTGGGCTATCTGCTTCGTTCGTTGGTTTGCTAGAACATGACATTCGACAACAATACCTACTACAAGCTCGACCACTCATCGGTAGTGTTCCCAGAAAAACGCAACCTGACTCAGTGGAGGTGAGTTGCAGCAGGCCGTGACAGAATCATGTTTTGCAACCAGCACAGACGTAATTGCTGACCCAAGCGTGGCGCCTTTGCACCCTTGTGTTGAGCAGACAGCATGGCCAGGATATGCACTCCATCATTGCAGACCCCCTTTTCACGAATCCCAATCTCGATGACTTCAGCCATTTGCGTCCTGCCAGCCCAGCCCTGGCGCGAGGGTTCCAGCCCATCAACATTTCCCTCGTGGGTCCAGATTGGAGTAACTTTGACCTGATGCTGCCCGATTCGCTCCACCAACATGGCGTCGTGACCATATAAAAATCTCACCTTTGTATCCCCAAATTAAGAAACTTCTGTGGACCACCGCGCGTCCTTGACGATTGCACCTGGTGATGCAGCAACATTTTATCATTGACAGTCGAATCACGTGCTCAACACCTACACAACACTGCAGACATTTTTCAGAAAGAGTTTTTGCAGTTTGAGCTTGATGCACCATCTGCTTTCGCTTTGTACCGTAATGTTGATGTGCAGTAAGAGGAATGGGCAAGGCGCGATTGAGGCAGACGCAACAACGGCACTCAATTACAAAAGTATTCGATCGATAGGTTGGCTAAACCCAAAAACAACATGCAAGAGCAATACGAGGGGTGGCGGTGAAACCACGTTAGGAGTTGGGAGTCGTCAGCTGCTTTGACGCTTCCAAGCTATGCACACATTGGCGCAGCCATGTCACCAACGAGAATGAGGCAAAAAAAAAAAAAAATGAGCAAGGCAAAGAGGTCGAGGAGAAGCGAGAAAAGTGATTCATATTGAGCAATCTTACCGAGGCATCAAGTCATCGACCAACTCATCAAGCCATGTTGATGTTGACTCCGTCTCCGTCGCTTCGTCTGCGAGCAGGGCGGGTACTTTGGCCCAAAGATGCCTGGAGAAGTTGTCGACAATCAAATTAACGAGTCTGGGATGGTAATAGGCAACTACAGCTGCGGCCACGCCCAGCTGTTCGGCGATGTTCGCATCACATGTCACCATGCGCTTGGCAAATGTATCGTTGCCAGCTGAGAGGCCAAAGTCACCGCGCAAAAGAGCCGCAATGATGGCCTCACCCTGCCGCAACTCGTTGTTTGTCAGATGATCGTGAGCCACTGCTTCAACCTTTCGCACACCACAAATGAAGGGGTCCTCGTCGAGCGCGGCGACTGGGACTGGCTGGGCCGTGCTGGGCGCTACGCAGGCCATCGGGTAATCCTTGGGAAATACGCTGTTCATGGGATCCAAAACTCCTTCTTGAATGGCCTGCTGAGCCGCTTCAAAACCGGACTGGATTTTACGGCAGACTTCAGCGGCAAAGTGGCGGAAAAGATGGTCCATCAGCGAAACATCTGCTGTCTGAGCAGCCGCAGCAGCGCTGGCATCACCGGCGCCTTTGGAGTGTCCTCCTGCAAGCTCCTCAAATTCGCCGACGGAGGCAGAGAGGGACTCAGACTCATAAGTGACTGACTTGAGGGCAGCTCTGAGCTCAGGATTAGTTCCAGAGGCTTGTTCGAGGGCAATGTAGATCATATCGCAGAGCTGAGCTCTGACAGACATCTCATACACCTCTGACCAGCGAGGCACACGGCCGACAAAGATGCCCAGGTGCTTTTGAATCCGTGCCTCCACGTCCTTGGCCTTGCCGTAAGCGTATGATAAAACAGCGCACATCTGAGGGTCAGCCAGGAGCTCGAACAAGTCCTTCAACATTCTGCCGGCCAGGACTTGGTTCTCGCGTTCGTTGTTAGCAGCACCGCTCAAATTCACCTTTGCTCGTGGTACCATGCTGTCGTCCAGATCTTGCACAATCGCCATCTCGGCATCTGAAAGCTCGTTTTGAAGGCTGCCCTGGGACCTGGCTCTTTCATAATGCGCGAGCATCATGGCCGTTGCCATCTTAGCCGTATGGCCATGCTCATTGTCGCACGTGGGGTCGCTGGATCCCGTGGCGAGTCGCACGTTTTCAGCTTGCTCGATGAAGTTTAGGACTGCTTGGGAAAGAATTGCCTGCAAATTGCCCTTTTTGAGCTCATTCTTGACCTTGGATGGAAACAGTTCGAGATGATAAAAAAGTCGTTCCTCGCGCTTGCGATGCTCCTCTTCGGCAGCTTTCCGGGCCTCCTCCTCAGCTTCGGCAGCTTTCCGGGCCTCCTCAGCTTCGGCAGCTTTCCGGGCCTCCTCAGCTTTGGCAGCTTTCCGGGCCTCCTCAGCTTCGGCAGCTTTCCGGGCCTCCTCAGCTTCGGCAGCTTTCCGGGCCTCCTCAGCTTTGGCAGCTTTCCGGGCCTCCTCAGCTTCGGCAGCTTTCCGGGCCTCCTCAGCTTCGGCAGCTTTCCGGGCCTCCTCAGCTTCGGCAGCTTTCCGGGCCTCCTCAGCTTCGGCAGCTCTCCAGGCCGCTTCTTCGGCCTCGGCAGCTCTCCGGGCCTCCTCAGCTTCGGCAGCTCTCCGGGCCGCTTCTTCGGCCTCGGCTTGAGTTTTCTGCTCGGCCTCAGGTTTGGAAGAATCAGCCATGGTGCGTGGGAACAAGAAGGAAACTCAACGAGAAGGAGGTATCAATCGATGACAGGTAGAAAAATAAAATGCGAGCAAGATCGTGAAGAACACTCGTCGGCTTCAACCATGATATAGACCGCAGCGTTCGGACGTTGTCACCAACAGCATCTGCTTGCAAACTTGCTCTTCGGTGCAAACAGTGGCGCGTGCTGGATGCGAGCAGCGGCGCGTGCTCAATGCGAGCAGTAGCGCGTGCTCGATGCAAGCAGTGGCGCGTGCTCAAAGCGAGCAGTGGCGCGCGCTCGACGCAAGCAGTTGGGTCCTTGTCTGAAGTGTGCACATCGGAAACTCTAGACTATAACCCACCTGATTCTAGACAGCAACTGTTGTCTTGTGACTCATGAAGAGAAGCCAATTGCCCGCGCCTGGCATGCATGCTTTCGTCTGAAAGACGACTGCCATCGCATCTCGCCCAGCCTCCCCCGCCATCGTATCACCTCCGGTGCTGTGATGATATGAGCAAAATGTCAGCATTTACGTCACAAGCAGTCAAAACAGGTGTGTGTGTGTGTGTGTGTTGGTTTTTTTTTTTTTTTTTCTCTCTCTCTTCAATAAAACGAGCGACATGGCGGGACAAGGCGAGGAGGACGATCTGGCCGAGCTAGACAAGTTCTTGCATGAGACGCAAACGCTGGTTGAGCCAGTTGCATTGCCTAGCACGGAAACAACAAATCGTGTGGCTGCTGCGCCTCACCAGGACTCACCCAGCTCGGTGGCCAGTCGATCGGTGGTGCCTTCTCTTCCCAAAGAGGAGGAGTATCGATACACCGTTCTTGCCAATCAGCTTCTGGGCGCCTGGCACCGCGCACCGGCCTTGCCTCTTGACCCAGAGGCGCAATCACTTGTTGAACCTGCCCTTGCAGCTATTCAATCCCGTAGCCAGCTTGCTCCTAGCCGATACCGGAATGTTCTCCTGTGGAATCGACAGTATCAGGTGAGCGCCCCGCCCTTGAAAGGTTCTCAACAACACCAGACCCACGCGCTGTTCACACACTGTGTTTCTTGAACTCTTACCGTGCCAAGCTCAAGATCTTTGTCAGATCACTCCTTCTCATGTCCATCTGTATGCCCACGCCGTATGTGGGGAATTCGTTCGGGACTTACCGTAGGTGGACCTGGTGCGCACGCTGAGCGAGCTCCGCTTTCAAATGCACACCGTTCAAGCCGAGCTCAGGGCCATCAACGAGTACGGTCTCGATGCTCTTGATGCCACGACCACGACTGCCCGAAGCCGTGGCAATAAAGGACCACGTCGTGCCCGCGATGCGGGTGCTTTGGCCAAACAAGAGATTCACTTGACTGCCCAGCTGCGTGCTCCTCGACCTGAGCTGGAACTTTTTGTGGGCCAGACGGCCACCCATCCGGCTGAAACGGCTGCTGACACCTACTTGGAATCGACAGTACTACCTGGCCAGCTGCCTTTGTCGGTACAACCCATGTTCAAAGCGGCAAGTTTACCAGGTTCCGGTCCCGCTTCAATCCAGCCTGTTTCGGCTTTCGCAACCAACATTTGCGAGGGCTAGGACATTCGCCTCTGGCATCGGTCTAACATACAAATGCTCTTAGACGCTTGATACGGTGCATGCTCGCTATACACCAAAAACTGCTGCACGCTGGACTGTGGAAGAGTCTCGGAAGCTTCACACGGCTGTCCTTCAGCAGCTGCGTCAGCGACTTTGCGCCCAGGTCCAGCACGAAGCGACGTACGTCAATCTAGTGGAGCATCTCTTCACCTAGACAAAAAAATGCCGAAAGTTTCACCGTGTTCATGGACCCTAGATTTACATCTTTAGAAAGCACCCCCGTAGCCAAGCTCTCGGCATCCCAGCTCAAGCTCAAGGTCGAGCTTGATCGCCGCCTGCACGAGGTACAAGTCGCACGCGTCGCACGCCATCTGACACGTCGTCGCGAGCCACTCTAATGTGCCTGAGTTCAATAGATTGCCCAAATGTCAGACCAGGCCGTCATTCGCCGTGCCACACACGTCCAATCACCTGATTGGGATCAAGTAGGTGCTGTCTGTTCCTTCAGATACACAATTCTCCGTCTGCATGCCATGCTTCTCGCCCTCTAACACTATCGATGACGCATCTATAGGTGGCCACTGCCGTTCCCTCGCGATCGGCACTAGCATGTGCATTGCAATGGAATGTCATCAACCCTGTGCGGCATCGCTCTTGGAGTAAGGAGGATGATAAACGCCTTCGCGAGCTTGTGCTTTCGCGACCCCACCAGGTGCAAAGCATTTTGAATCTTGAACTTGAGCCCGCTCCGCGTCAAACCTTTTCTGCCGCGTGTGTATCAGCGCTCTGTGAGCTACGATTAACATCAACCCACACCCGCTCGCCTCGCCTGTCTGCGTGGCGCAACATGGCGTGTGTAGACGTGGGCATGGTACACTGAGCAGCTACAACAGGATCGACATCCGGTTGATGTCTTCATGCACTGGCAGCAAGCCATCAACCCATCGTTGGTGAAACGAAACTGGAGCTCAGCTGACGTAAGGCCAACGCCGAGTCAGTTTGAGTACAGGTGCTTGACGTTACTCTGAGGCCTTCATTTGTTTGATGCTTTCTCCCTCCTGGCGATATTTAGGACGATCGACTGCGCACCGTCATGCGTCGCATTGGCAATAGCGATTGGACGGTAAAATTGACATGGTCAAGACTCCAGTCTTGCACATCAAGACTCACTTTGGCCGCACCTCGCCTGCTCAATCGTTAACTCTGTTAGGCCGTGGCCCAAGCCATGGGAGATCGGACGCCGCAGCAGTGCAACTTGCGCTGGACAAAAGTGCTTGATCCCCGTACGCTCTCTCCTCGATCGTTGAGTCACTGGCTCGCATATCTACTTGGGGCAACCGCTGCCGCTACTAATAGCCACTGCAATTCTTTGTGCGGCTCCTCAAATTTTGATCTTCATTCACACTCGCTGGGCGCCTCCTAGGGCTGGCGAGTGGACCTTGGTCGGACCAAGAGCTAACGCAACTAAGGACTGGCGTGCAAATGTATGGGACACGATGGTCGCAGGTTCAGCGGCTCGTGCCGACCCGTTCAGACCAACAATGCCGTGAGCGCTACGAAAACCTTGAACGCACCGATATCTGCCGAGGTGCTTGGACACCGGTACGATCTTTGTTCCCAGTTGAAGCGAGATGTAACGTGTCAGCGTGCTTGGCATGCTACACCCACTCTGTGCGCTCGTGTGTAGCTAGTGAGCATTCTCAGCCCCACTTGTATTCTTTTTAGGAAGAAGATGCATGTTTGCGAGAAGGCGTGGCACGTTTCGCCCACAGCTGGACGCAGGTCGTGGAGCATATGTCGCAGCATGGCTTCCCCCGAACAGACAACCAATGCGCGCGACGGTTCGTTGATCTCACCAGTGGGGGGTTTTCCAGTTATTCTTCCTGTACTCTTCCTGACTAAGCCACGTACGATACACAGGTTTGAAAAGCTTGATCCCCAGGCAGCCCTGGACCATCTGCAAGCTACACATGGAAAGGAGCAGGTGGGCTCACACTTCGTGCTGAGGACAGGAGTACAAGCGTGTCGCAAAGCGTAAACATGAGCATCACTTGCGTCTGTTCAATGCCTTAGGTGCAGGTCTCGCGGGGTGGTGTGAAGCGCCGATATTTAACCCATGCTTCGGCACTGGACGAAACTGCGGTGTCCCCTGAGGTCAGTTTACTCGAGTCTTTGCAAACAGTACGCCATCTTACGACAGGGCCTCTTTGTGGGAATGTAGGCGCAAGCATCCAAGAAAATGCATCGATTGCAGCGTGTGGTCGAAGGTCCCCGTCGTCCGCGTGGCCGCCCGCGTAAGCAGAGGCCAGCTCCCACGACAGTGCTGGCTCCCACAACCGTTTCGGAAATTGAATGACATGAACCTTGGTTGAGCAACGATAACGCTCTTGATTTGCAGACTCGGGTTGCAACCAAATCATGGTCAGCTTTAGATGCGAAGGAACCACGAACATTCCCAGCATTCATATGAAAACTCAGAAACTGATTCTGATTCTTCAAGAATACAATGAACCAATGAACCTCATTTGGCACGCACACAACAACGAACCGACCCAGAGTGATATATGTGCCAGTAACCACGCGTCGTAGATAACGAACGAATCAAGTTCACTCGCGTGCTAGAGCCACAGTCAGTCACCACAGCAAGTCAACATCCAAGCATCCAGGCCGGTGGATGATGCTAAAAAAATGAAAGACAGAGAAGAAAAGGTCTTAAATGGGATGAAAAAAGTGATGGGGTCAATTTGTTCCTACACACACCTCTACAATTACGATTATCAATCTAACACATGTAAAGATCCATATAAATTTTGAGAAGGACCCTTCGCCAAATCTCTTTTCACACATGCGATCCTCGCAAAAGGGAGTCCGAATCGGTACTATCTTCAAAAGCTTCGGCCTCTTCTAGGGCGGCAGCTCGGGCATCACTGTCACGGCGAATATCATCAGCTGTTGGCACATGGTCAAGCACGGTCGGCAAAGCGCTTGCTCCCTCATCAGGGAGCAGACTCGGCCGGGCGGAGGGCAGGCTTGTAGAGGCTGTGGTGGCCGAGGCTGCGATGGCGGCGTAGGGTGGCGGGCTATCGAATCGATCTCCCGTGTCAGGCTCAGTATGAACCATTTCAAGCTGAGTCTCATGTGTAGCCCGGCGCACCCGAGCCACTGCCTGGCGCCGCTTATACCAGTCCAAAGCAAATAGGATGGCGGCACCAACCAGGGCCATGCTACCAGCCACGATCAAAGCTAAATGTAATCAGAGAGGAGAGGCATTCACAACGAGACACACGTAAAAGAGAAGAAGAAAAAAAATGAGCAATCCAGGCAGCGAGCACGTCTCCGGGGATCGTGGAGCGGGCTAGGAACAGTAGAGGCAAGGCACCAACCTGTTTGCCAGGCTGGAGGCGACTCTGTTTCAAGAAGTACGCCCTGATAGTCCACATCCCCATTGGCCTCGATGCACATGTCAGCCCAACCGCCATAGCAACCCTCGGTACAATTGGCAGCGCACTGACGACAATGTCCAGTGCCATCTGGGTAGGTATGCTCTGGGCAGGATACGCATTCAACCTGGCGACGACTCAAAAGCGTGCGTGTAGCTGTCACCAGCTCACCCGCAGCGAGAGCCTCAGGGGGTGCGCGGCCATGCACTATGAGCTGCCAAGAGTGGATGGTGATGTGGGCGCTATCCGGCGCGTCAAAACTCAGCACCCAGTCACCCTCGGGGCTTTCGCCCCAGAGACCCGACGTGCCAAGGGTCCATTCCATGTTTGAAACGGCAGCGCGATCTCGAGAGCGCTTTGTTAAAAGCACGATTTGAGTCCCCATCGGGGAGGTGAGGGTCACACTCAGCTGGCCGCGCAGCTGAGACGAGAACTCAAGATGTACTTGCACAAATGTCATGGTTCCATGGCAAGGTGAGTTGTCCGGGGTGCATAAAGGTAGCGTCACTCGATAGGCTTGTGTACCAGCGAGGGCAAACGAGGTCGTGCGCTTGCTGTAGTAAATTGGGGCGTTCAAGGCCGACGGCAAGCTCAGGTTCTCTGCCCAGGCCAGCAAGGTGTCAGCCCGGAGGAGTCCAAAGCCAAAGTAATGGCTGAATCGAAGACCACTGCCCGTGGTCTGAAAATCACCGTTCACCAGATCTGAGGGATCTGCCGAATAGGCGACGGCATCCTGAACATCAATCCATGAGAGGCACGGCTTGGCCTGCAGAAGCAGGGCAATGATGCCCGAGGCTTGCGGAGCGGCAGCCGAAGTGCCAGAGAAGCCCTCCGTGCAGCGATTATGCAGGTCAGCTGAGACGATGGCATTGTAATACCCGGTCGAGTACGAGCTGAAGGTACTAGCCTACGCTCCAACATCAGAATTACAAGGAGAAATGAAGCCGGCCAAGGCAATTTGTGAATACTCCACGGACATGGGGGTTGCAGGGCAAGGCGGGCTGAGAGAGCGATTGAAGAAGATACAAAAAGGATCAAAACAAAGAAAAAGAAACAGATGTAGAAGAGAAAAAAAGAACCACGCAAACAAGCAGGTGGAGGGTGTGATGCTGTTGCCAGCCCCTTGTCAGGAGCGAGTCACGCATGATGCTCCGGTGGCGTGAAACAAACCATGACAGCAGCGCAATGCTCGCTGAACGACGGGGCGCGTCCATCACTGACAAGCCCTCCAATTGCGATGCTTTCTGGGCGGTTTGCGTAGCCGTCTGCATTGCAGTCATCCTGTGCTTAATCATCATGAGAATGCCGAAAAACAGCAAGGCGTTCTGCTGCCCGTCTTGTCTAACCACGGGCCAAAACGTACGCTAATGCCGCCGTTGCCACCGGCCCAAACATAAATAGAGCCCAATCCTCCTCGTCCATACTTGACGCCACTTGCAAAAGCCCTGCAAAAAGCATGCCGCGAGTGAGGGCCAAATTTATCAGTCTCAAAAAGCTCGACAAAGAGTGAAGGAGCTCCGTAGGCGTCAGATATACATGACGTCAACGTACGTCACAGCCAGCGGCCCCGGCCCCTCCATAGTACGACCGTCATCGCTAGGACCCCATGAGGCAGAATAAATGTCGACATATTGCGGATTGAAGCTGAGGGAGGCCCCCTATTCGAAAGCACAAACAAACAATGCAGGAAGGCAGGAAGCGAAGAATTTTTGTCAATGCTATGCATCGAAAGAAGCAGAACATGCTCTGCCTGGCATAGGCTCAAAGGCGAAAGGCACGGATCAGTGTGTGGTACTTTGAGCGCTTCGCACATACCTCAACCGAGTCCAGCACGGGCCCGTCAAGCATACGGATGCCACCCAGGCTGAGGTTGAAGCAGCGGCAGCATGTATGAACAGCGCCATACCATGATGAAGATCAAGCTAGTGAGCAAGCGGTAAAGTTTGGCAGGAAGACAGCCACACCATTGGGCATAAACATCGTACTTGACGTCATAGGCGATGCCCGACCCGCAGCGACCATTGTTGTGCTCTCCCGCCACCACGCCAGCACAGCGAGTGCCATGTTTGTTAAGATCGTTGTCGCCATAGCGTGGGATTGGGTCGGCATCATCATCTGATGGGGACAGACGGTAGAAATGAAGGTAGAAATGAGGCAGCGCAGAGGTGGGACCAAATTCACAGGGTTTGAATTGTGTGCTGCAGGTCCGTGACGAACCATTGTAGTCATAGCTCGCGGCGGGATCATAGTTGTCGTTGAGCTCGTCATTGGTATGCTCGACGCCATCATCGACAATGGTTACGACCACGTCTCTACAGGTGGGCGTCCATGAGAGGAATGCGACTTTGGGAGCGAGGGTCACTTGTTACTCTATGCACCGGCCTTTGTAGACCGCTTGATCAAAGTCATGGCTCTTGGGACGTACCGGCCGGTGATGTCTGCTTCCCAAGACGAATGAACCTGTAAGCTTGGAAAGGTGTTGCTTGTGATGTACCATTGATCATCATACAAGGGATCCTGACGTCGCTCACGCACAAGATGGTGCTGGACATGAAGATACGAGGCCAATCATGAGATGAGCGCGTCCTGAGGGTCAATTCCATGAGGCATAGCTCGACGAGAGGGAGCACGAGCGGCTTACTTGTTCGTGAACGCGCCGGGCCAAGGGGTGTCGGCGGAGGCGCTGGGTGACATGAGCGTGCGGCTCAGCAACGCTCCCGTTGTGATGCACCTTATACCAGCCTGGCAAGGAGCCAATTGCCCCACGAAGCACGAGGCCCGTTGCATCGGCCAGTTGGGCCGCGGCTTCACGGCCCTCGGGTACATGGATCGCCCAGAAAGGGGCCTGTGAAGACGGCGCATCCGCACGGTCCTTCGCATTCTCGGGGCGGTGAGGGATCGCCATGGGTGTGATTGCGAATAGAATGCAAGTCCCCAGCAAGAGACGGGGGAACGGCGACGCGCGCCGTGCCATGTCGACGATCGTCGCGAGCACAAGGGGGGCAGACGCGACCCCCTTGCAATCAAGCGCAAATCCTCAAGGCGCCCAGGCCCTTAAGTCAAAAAAAAAGGAAGAAAGTTATAGAAAGATCAGGCAGACGGCCTCCCTCCAGCCTCAGAGCAAACCAGAGCGCGCGCGCGCACGCCTCTCTACCCCGCGCAGCCACAAGCAACAGTGAGGGTGAGGCAAGCCAAAGCTGACGACGATGATAACGATGACGTGCGCGCGCTCTCACACCTGAGAAATGAATTGAGATAGAGAGAGGAAAATCTGACATAAATCAGCGGACGAACACAGTGAACAGTGTGTGGCCTGACGCTCCTTGTGTGTGTGTGAGTGATATTATTGTTCTTGCCGTTTTCCTCGTTCTCGGAGGCGGGGCGGGGCGACTTTGGCGGCAGCCCGGTACCAGCACCGCCTGGTTCTGGTTCTGGTGCTTGTGAAAGGACAGTGGTTTACGGTTCCGACTTGGAGTTGCGTCAAATCTTGGAAGCTGGTGGAAGTCGGTGGGTGGCCGCTGGCACCAGGGCTACTGGGGAAGGTGGTGATCGCGCCTGCCGGAACGGAAAGGCGGTCAGTGCGGATTGAGTCTATTTATTGAGGCTGACTTGCGCATGCTCCAGCGCTCCTCATCGACAACATGACCAAGGCGCGCCACGAAAGCACGCAACTTCTGCAATTGGAGGTTGTGCAAGGGACAGATCCTTCCAACAACAATGTCATCCGTGCACATGCCGCAATCAGCACCCCAAAGATCGCCTGCTTCGCCTATGCTACTTCCGAGTTTCTGTACCTCTGCGTGAAGCCCGCGGCGCAAACAGCGGCCACGCGGCAGATCCCATGGTTCAATGAAGAGGGTATGACCATTCTTCACCTTGCTCTCAACTCCTCTGGGGAATACGTCGTGGCCATTACAAAAAATTCCAGCTTGGTTATTGTCCCTGTGGCACCGCTCTTGGCACCACTCGTCCATGCCGGACCTGCGGTGGGCCTGCCTCGTCAACCCTTTCGCTGGCCCCATGGCCTCTCTCTTCCCCCCTTCTCTTTTCCCGGCGACGACGTCAAGTGTCTTGCGCCCGATAAAACCCTGAACGGCTCGAGCTGCTTGGCAGTATGGGAGCCTGTGCCTGGTTTTCATGCTTATGCCATCGTGGGCGGTGCCTCCAACTTGCACTTTGTTCATCTCGAATCGCGTCAAGTCTTTTCAGTTCGCACCTTTAGTCCTAAACAAGAGATTGAGGACATGCGCGTCATCTACTCGGCTCACGATGATGGCCGCGCACACCTCGTCTGGCGTCAGGGCCAGACATTTGGTCACATGCTTCTCCAGTATCGCTCCTTCAACTCCGAAGGTGAAATGCAGCTTCACACAATCATTGATGATTACGGTGGTGTTCCCTACATGAAGCCCACCAAGACCACCTGCAAAGCCTCCCATGGGCCCAGCCTCCAGTACTTCCAGTCGGAGGAGGCCATCAGCGAGGATAGCGACGCGCCGTTTCAGGAGAGCGGCACCGGTGCTGGGACCCAGCCCGCCCGCATCGTGGCCATAGACATGCACCAGAATCGCGCCTCCATTTATGGGGATCTCAACATGTTTCAAGAGGCTTTTCGCTTGCAGCTCCCCACTGGTGTCAAGGCCATCAGCTTTAGCAAGCTCATTGCGGCCGCTGTTGTGGCCAATGACCATGGCGAGTATCGGATCCAGCTTCTCTTGAATGCCTGGCTGACAAAGACCAGCACGGTAAGAATGGGCGCTCGCAAAGTTGTGCCGATCCCTCACGCCGACATCGAGAACAGCCTGTCGCCAACACACTTTTTGTCCCTCTTGAGGCCATGGGTCCTCATGAATCCTTACTTTGTGCTTCCGTGCCTTGCGCTCCGTGCCCGTTAGGCACAGGATTCACCCAACCTCGGTAGCTCGCATCAGGCATCACAAGATGCTGAAACCATCTTCTCGGAGGAGGTCCTCCCCGCTGGATGGACCGATCCACTCATGGTGGTGCCAGATCGCAGCCAGCCACCGGATCGAGCCTTCTTCATCATGTTTCCTGAAGGATTGCAACACGTGCAGATTATTCAAGATTTCGATGAGCTGTGTCTTGAACGCCTTCGCGCCGGCGAGGATGCCAGCCGCCTTCTTTTTGCACTTTCCCGCACATCCAACGAAATTTATGCGCGAGCTGCCCAACAATGCATCGCCTCGGTTCGTGAGCCATGTGGGCATGCGCGATTGCTCGAAGCGCTGCCGTGCCGCATTCACGCCCTTGGAAATTGCCAACTTGATTTGCGCCATCATCTGCAGGGGCAGTACGCGCAAGGCCTGGAATACTTTCTCAAGCAAGGCGCCAATAACCCCATGGGCATCATTCACCTCTTTGTTGAGCATGGTAGTGCCTTTGACTTGCTTTCGCAGCCAAAACATGAACTGCCACAGACGCGCATGCACTCACACACGCTCACTTGCTGCTTCAATGGTGGTACATTCCAAACAGACCAAATGTGGATTGTATTGCGCTTTATTCGACACGCTCTTCGTGAACCGGGGGCACACACTCACGAAACGCGCAAGCGGCTTTCTGAGCTCATGATGCTCGTGTACTTTTACCACCTCTTGCGCCTGGGCAATGACTTACCACATGCAGCTAATGGGTAAGTTCCTTCAATGCTGTTTACGCCACTCTGATGCGGCTGATGCGGTCCAGCGTACGCTTGGCAAGAGTCCTTCATTCCCACGCGCTCATGAGTCATGTGCCATGTGCCTCAACTGGCCCTCTTGATTGGGCGCGGTGGTTGCGCTTCGCCTTCGTCGTTTTGGAAACAACGAATAAACGCGATCCTGACACCCCTCACCACTCAATAGCGTGCGTGCCGGCTTGAGTGCGCCTCGTACATCCCGCTCAGGCTCTGAGCGAGGGCGTACTGGATCTCATGCGCACGACGCCTTTGGTCGCGTACCCGCCGACAAGGTAAGAAGCAAAAACCATCCTGCTTCTGTGAGTGGTCCTATGCTTTATGTCTCGTATGCCTCTCCTGCAATCTCTGTAGCCCATGTCAGAGGCTGAGATCTTAGAACACGCCCAGGACTTTGCACGAGACAACTGGGACTACAATCCCTCAACCTCATTTGCGCGTAAGTGCATCCACTATGTCACCGCGAAAAGCATATGCATGGTTGGGAATGGCGGGTGCCCAGGGTGCCTTGTCAGCTGTGTTCTCTCACGCAGAGGCTACCTTTTGTCAATGCTCTCTGCCTGGTGCACAGTGGCAATTCAGAGTGGACTGCATGGCTATGGGCTACGCATCGCCCACGCGCGCTCCATGGTAAGCCCTGCTGCAATTGATGGTATGGCTTCAGTGCCCGTGCTCGACCGTTCTCATCTCGGCATGGCTCGCGCTGCAGCTGGACGAGGCGTTGCGTCATGTGATCAAGGCCAATCAAGTGCCGCCCGAGCAGCAAGCCGTTGATTTTTTGATCGAGCAAGAGCTTACACGCTCGATCACCGAGATGCTTGATGGCCATTTGCTCAGAAGCCTGCATCCCGATGACATTGTCCGGCTTTTGACCTCAGAACCCAAAATGTTTCGCGAATGCACGGTCTTTGTGCGGTATGTAAGGGAAAGAAAGGAGTAAAGAAGAGGGGAGTTGGAGACAGCGGATGAGCTCCAGTACAGTAACTGCCAGTGCATTTTCTCTCATGCGGCTCTGGGGTGCTTGGTTTTGCCTGCTTTCCGTCCCATTCCGGTCCGGCGACATAAGACCCGTTTTGCACGAGCTGTCATTGGCATCATTGGAAAGCCTTTTAGCCTATCTCAATCCGGCACGCTTTCACATCAACGCTATCTTACAACGGTTCGTAGGTCATCCAAAAACTACTTTGGAGCTGCTGGCTCTAGTGAGTTTCTGATCCGCTAACCCAAATGTGTATCTGTTGACGCAGCGCGCAAGAAGAGGAGCTTGAGGGCGGTAGTGCTGAAGCAGATGAGCCTCGATTTGCCAGATGCCTGATGCAATTGTTTGCCACTGCTCTTCTTCTGTTACATAAACATCGCTTAGCCGGGGTTGGTTTTCGATGCGTTCAAAGGCGGCCTGCAACTTATTCACGAGCCAGATGGAAAAAAAAAAAAAAGCTTTCGCCCTGCGCAGGGCTGTGGTGATCATCTCATGCACATCACCAACTGCTATGCACATCACCAACTGCTCGGCAGGCTGCTTCTGAGCGCGAATACCTCGAGCTGTGTCCTTGGCACCGCGAACCACACAATGCCGTGCGGAACGCATTTGTGGAACGAACAAGCCATCATGGCTCTGACTTGACTGCCAGCCCTCTCTTGGGGTCTCTTGATGATGACGCGCTCTCCGACGGTGAGTCATGCTTTGGGTTTAAGGTTGAAGCGAGCATTCGAGCCTGCCTCTCCAGAAAGCGTGTGGCCCAAGGGTGCTTGCGTCGATGAGACGCTTCGAATCGCCAGGTTCATCTGCTCGCCACCCGAGTCTGCACATTGATTGGTCTTGGTGCTTTTGTTGTGGTCTTGAGTAGATGAGGAGCAACGTTATCAGCGCTTTGGTGATTTGGGCTTGGGAGGTACACGCCGCGTTCGGCAAGCCAATGGACATGCCTTGGCGGTTGGACACGCACATGTTGCTCGACTTGCTGCCGGTATGGATCAGCTTTTGGTTGTTGAGGCTTGCCTGTTTTTTTTTTTTTTTTTTTTTTTTTTTTTTTTTTTGGTTTTTTTTTTGGGTGTTGCCCATTTTCTTTTTGCCTCGTGCTGTTTCGCGTCATTCGACCACGGCCGAGTCCCGCTCGAACGATTCGATGTTTTGTTACTGCTGCATGGACTTGCTGATTGAATGCAACCTCTTGTCTTGTCACAGGCGAGTTGTACGTGTGGGGAACTGGTGAGGATGGCCGGCTTGGGCTCGGCGAATTTTTCGTGGATCAGCACTTGGCGCAACCCATGCATGTTATCCGACCTTTGCGGTCGCATGACACCTGGAAGGTAGGCCTTGAGCTGGAGTACCCTCGAATTATCACGGGCTGGGCACTAATCGCGATCAAAACCGGACCTAGGTCTTGAGCGTGAGCTGTGGGCAGGATTTCAGCACAGCCATCACCTCGGGCGGCATATACACTTGGGGTAACAACCAACACGGCCAGGTTGGTCTGCACGGTGCCCTCAGGTCGTTCGGAGTGCGGGGCACAGGATTGTGTGCAGTTTGTTGTAGATGATGAATCCAAGTCCGACTCACTACATGTTGGTCACGTTTGCTCAGCTGGGCTTAGGTCACTCGCAAAACAGGGCCAGCCCGCAGTTGGTGGAAGAGTTGACAGGTGTTACGGGCATCACCTTGACAACTGGCCATCATCATGCAATTTTGCAGAGCGTGGAAGGTTTATGGGGCTGGGGCAATAATGACCACGGACAGCTGGCCTTGCCTCACTATGCCAATGTGGCGAGCCCCAAGCGCCTCATGGCCATCGAACGTCTGAGCCCTGAAGTCTTGGTAGCCGGTGCCTATCACACCGCCTTTATCACGCAGCAGGTGGGTGAATTTTGAGACTTTGTGTTGCGCTGACACTCGCCCGCGCGCCCAGGTCCAAGGTTGGGTTTTTGGTCACACTCACGCTTTGATGCACCACGACCCGCCTGTCTCTACTCGGACTGGGGTTGATTGTAGGGCAAAGCGTTTGCGTGTGGCCGCGGCTGTGAGGGACAGTTGTTTAATACCGTTGCCGTTGAGAGGCAGCATGAACCACAGCCCATCTTCATCCCAGTGAGTATCCTCCCCAAGGTGCCTTCAGGCACATCATTTACCTTGGAGAAGTGGGTCGAACCCACCATTCTTTTAACTTTGGGCTGGGCCATGGACGCAGGAGGATGGGACGCCAATTCGTCTTTTGGCAGCCGGAGCATTTTGTACCATTCTCGTCTCTCATGGTCATCGCTCATGGCTCTCGGGCGAATTGCGGGCTATTGATGTCACAACCAAGTTCGTTACAGACGGGCATGCCTGGTTTCTCTTTGTTGTATGGCATCTGATCACAGACATGCACCTAGGCGGTCCAAGCTCGCAGAAAAGGCAGCACCTTTGCCGGGTCCGCGATGTTTGGATAGCGGAACGGTGGACATTGCTGCAATTGATGCGGTATGCGTCCCGCCTTCATCGTCTCTTGTACACATTAGCCGCTCCGTGCCCCGGATTTCAGCCTTGTTAATGTTCATGCACTGCTCACTGTGCTTCCATGTTCAGATTGAAGCCCACACCCAGCATGCCATTGCTTTGTTGGAGGAGGGCTCTTTGGCCGCGCTGGGTTCCAACTCGAGTGCAGCCATGGGGTTAGCCAGCAACGGTGTCTTTGCGACATGGCAGCCCATTCCCAATTTGAAGGTAGAGCTGCTTCATGGCCCAAATAATGAGGCAGTGGGAAGGACTGAGGGGAGGAGCAAAGGTATTGGCGAGCCAAGTCTTGCCACCCCAATGTGGCTGACTCGCATGGCATCGGCGCGTTTTGCTCGCTCTCGCATCATTTTTATCTCAGACTTGCTTTCAAGACATTGGGGTGGGCGAGACGTTCAGTGTAGCCATTGACAACGATGGGCGGGTATGTGGTCAGCACACTGATGATAGAACAACGGATGGTGGGGTACTGGGCAGCGCTTCATTGTTCTGTACTGCACTTGTCGGTGCGATGGCTCCCGTGTCAGGTCTGGTCTTGGGGTACAGGTCGATTTGGCGAGCTGGGAACCAACGAGCTTCAAGCACAGCGGCAATATCCGAGCGTCATTCCGGACATTGACGCTCAGAATCAATTTTCGCTGCAGTCTGATCTTTCCGGTTGGATTGGTTCCAAATTGTGTTGCCAGTGGGTCGTGGGTCATGTGGTGCCTTTGGCCTGTTTGACACGCTGATGGATGCTCCTTTTATATTTTGTGACCTCGACCGGCACAATAGATGCATCCAACGTTGCCTTGGGCCGGACTTGCATGCCAGCAGGGCTGCGGCGAAAGCGGGCTATTTCAGCAAAACAGACGGTCAAGCGAACGACGCCCCAAAGAGGTACGCGTTGACGATCTCGCACCCCCTTACTTCTCAATGTCGGTTGCCTGCATGCTCTTCCGATCCGACCTGACAGTCAAATATACTCTCTTCTCACTTGAACGAACTCTAGCATCCCGTTTGATGACTTTTCAGCTGCTGCCACGCCGTTTGCGGGCTGGAACCTCTTGCAGAGTTTAAGCATGGTCTCGCCGTTCTTGGATCTTAACCTCCTGGCGGCGGAGGCAGCTGTCCATGACTCGATGGTTGCCGCCCATCTTCACCTGTTAGCGCAGCACCCGGCGTTGGCCGTACTTGCACGCTTGGATGCAGCAAAAGCCTTTGCTACCGACTTTCCTGATTCAAGCATCAGCGCTGTGGCAGATCGTTACTACACTGAAGTGCTTTTGCCTTACGTGGAGTTGATCCGCACGCCGCCGCCTGGCTTGCAGCAAGACCTCGACAACGTTGCAGCTTTCAAAGAGCCCGTTTTCTTTGATGCCATCTTGGTGCGTGCAGGGACAGGCTGGGGCCCAGCCATTGCCCGAAACCGGCTGTGAGCGCATCTCTCCTGCCGTTCTGCTTACGACCCGGGTATTCCTTGGTGGTACCGCGCTCCTTGTCCGCCTTTCGGTAGGATGCTTTGGAGGAGCTGCCTGTGAGCGACGTCGTTATCAATCAACTCGTGGAGGCGCTGGCTGCCATGGAGCCTCAGATCACCACGACGCAATTGGTGCAGCACCCGACACTCGTGGCCCGAACCAGCATTGACCTTAAAATGCAGCTTTCGACTTTGCTCCTCAGTCAAGTCAGTTCTGGTTCTTCAACGTTTTTTGTCCAGTTGGCGCTTGGGGTATCTTTTGGGATTGCAAACGGGTCTCATTTCCCGATGAGCAAGGCACTCAGCTTTTTAGCTTCCTCATCTCGTGCTGCGAATCGGAACGGGCATATAGACAAACGCGTTTGTTCAGACACAGCAGGAGCAGGACAGCCGGGCCCAGGTTGTGCGAAATATCCTGGACAACGTGCACAAGGCTATCGTGGCGCGACCGGGACTGTCATTGAGTCATGGCGCTGCCTATGCCTTACAAGACGCAGGCCGGGGCGAGGTCACGGCTGGTCGAGCTGATGTGGTTATTTTCTCTTGCGGCCATCATTTTCCCAAGCAAGGGTTCGATGCTCAAGTGCTGCAACGCTTTGCCCGAGAGGTTCAGCAATCGTCTTCCGGAGCTGGCGCTCTCTGGGCCAACGTATTGCGAAAAGAGTATCAAAAGGTGCGTGCAAGACCCGCCAGATGATGCCGAATTTTGTGACCCAACGGAATGCTGGGTCGAGAAATCTAATTTGACATGATGCTTAATCCTCACCATTTTCGCAGTCGGCGGGCCTCATTCAGTTGGCATGTCCCAACTGCGTCCTTTCCACTTTGAGTTCGTGATGCACATTCTTTTGAGCAGATGGCCATGCGTGCCAGTGCATGGGCTCTATTTGTTTTTTAGGCAACTTGAAATAGGGACAGGTGACCAGAAACTGATTGAATTGAGAAGGAGAAGTTGATGCTCCGTGATCAGGACCTTTTGAATTGTCAGAAAAATCAGCTCCCCAAGCTTGGACGCCTTGATAAAAACCAAGACACGTTGTTGTATCGTGAAGCAAATCCGGCTTCGTTGAAGAAGTTTCTTGTGTGTGTGTGTGTGTGTGTGTGTGTGTGTGTGTGTCAGTGTTGTTCTGTCGTTTTCCTCTCAAACACGCAGAGACCACCTCACCACCATCAGCATGTCGGATCCCTGGGCACGATATGAGGCCTGGCGCACGGCCGGGGGCATTGGCCGTAATGCGAACATGATGCGTCTGCTGCCGGGATTTCTGATTGGTACTGGCCTTTTTGTGGTTGCCGTCGGTGTCGAGTCGGTCATGTCCAAGGGCCAAAAGAAGCACTGAGCTGAACGTTGCTCTGGCTATTATTGATTTCCTCTGGTCAGTTCGGGCACGCGCGAGTGTCACAGGGAGCTTTGGGCTGCTCGATGGCTTCTCGTTCTGGTCGTGATTGGCGCGCTCCTCTTGGGGAAGGATAGGGTCAAGATGATGCACGGGAAAAGGGGGAGGACAGGCAAATGTCGAAGTGTGGTGTGCAAATGAGATGGCGAGCCAGCTCGATGTAGCTTGCTCATTGACCTGACTGCTTGCTCGGTTTCATCACTCACACCGACTAACACCGCCCCCGCCTCAACCTCGTGGAACACTCGCTTAATGCACATGATAGACATTTGCTCTGGCCTTTTTAGCAACGAAAATTCTGGCGCCTTCGGTTTAGCTCTCAACATGTCATGGTCCATGTGACCATGTATCTGTGTGTTTGTGTCATGTGTTGTGTTCAAGGCTCAGCGGTTCCTTTCGCCGCGTTTCAGCCATTTTGGTGAGGTGCTTGCACCTGCAGACTCTAGGGTCTTGATTAAACATGACTGCTGAAAAGCTGTCCAGGCTTACAGCAGCCAACACACCACCATCTCTTCGCCTCGTCACAACGGCGGGTCGTGCTGGCATGGAGTTTGTTTTCTTGGCTAGCTCCGCATAGCCTTTGAGCAATCTGTTTGCCATCGTTTTTGTGAGTGGCCATCGTTCCTTCCCTGACCCACCCCTTTTTCATGCCGCGGTGACTCTTGACTCGTGGCAAGGAAAAGCCGAAGCTGAAATTATCACCACGAATTTACATGAAAGATAAAGAGCTGTGCAGTTGTTCCAACATGTTGTTCCCTTCCACCCGAGTTCTTGAGACATAACTGAACACCCCAGGCATGGCATGGCATGGCAGGAGGTAAACCAGCGATACATTCACATGTGGGTATGGTAATTATTATTATTATCATTATTATTACTGTTATGGCGACGATGGTGCCCAAACAAGGACCTACCATTGTGAATCAGAAAATCTTAATTATGCGCGTCACTTAAGAGGACACTCAGTGTCCACACGAGCAGCTCGTGAAACCAAAAAAAAAAAAAGTCAAACACGGGGGCCATGCCCCGGGTCGCTTCTACACGTTGAGTCTACATCTCAATGCCATACTTTTGAAAGTGTCGCATCAGCAGGCTAACTCGGATTTGCACGCATCCCATGGTTTCCGTCTTCAGCTTGAAGCGGTCGGCTTGAGTATGAACTAACCACGGGAGAGAGCCGCAGTTCCAATGAGAGAGTGTAGCTTTGGGCGTGAGACGGTGGCTCTGCCGACACAGAAGAAATGCAACTGGAACTCCCACATCAAGACGGGCAGGCTACTGACCAATATCCGTCTTGCCAAGTTGATAACCACCACCCACGAGACGCCCTGAGCACGGGTATAGCACACCAAGCATTTCAATGGGATGAGGCAATGTCTGCACACCCTTGAGGTCGTCGGGTGTAATGCTATCGTGGGTCCTGATGGCTTACCGCGTAGGCTCTCCAATGCCGATCCGGCAGGGCGCCAGCAATGGCACACGAGGTCGTGGGTGCCAGGTGTCATTGGGATGGGCGCAAACCCATAACCGTCTACCATACCAAATGCACCAGCACCAGCAATGACAAGGACGATGGCCAGTGAGGCTAGCGTTGCTTCTCCAAGCTTGCCCCTGGCCAAACAAGGAGCAAGGATTTAGACGCCTGAGAGATCACCTACACAAGTCGTTGCGACCGAGATCATCTTGATGCCAAACCTCGACCTGCAGCTTGGGCCAGCCTTGCATGCCCTGCGTGGCATAGTGGATGTCTGGAAGAGCATTCCAGCCAGGCAATGCTCTGTGAGACCTTGCAAGCATCCGCACCGTGCGTGCCTGTTCTGCTCATGTCGCTTGAGCTTTTGAGCACGATTGACCTTGAAACTTACCTAGCGGGTGACCAAAAACGGTGGCATCACTGCCAGCTGGGGTATCCACTTGCGTCTGTCCCTGAACTTGGCCCTCCAGCACGCGCCACCCTCCTCCATGGACAAACTGCCATTTGCAAAACAGCGAGGGATCGGGAAACCCGCTTGCCCCACGAATCTGTCCGATCACATGCAGCTCAGCCATCGTTTCACGTCGCGTTTGCGCCACCACCCACAAAAGTGTTGAGAGAGAATTTGAGTTTGAGAGAGTTTGAGAGAGAGAGAGTTTGAGAGAGAGAGTTTGAGAGAGTTTGAGAGAGTTGAGAGAGTTTGAGAGAGAGTTTGAGAGAGAGTTTGAGAGTTTGAGAGAGTTTGGGCTTGAGCTTCAGTCAGTCTTCGAGTCTCCCAGTCTCTTTCAAGACCAAAAGAGCGTTACAAAAATCCAAAACCGCGGAAGCGAGCAGCAATCCATCGTCACATCGCGCTGCATGGTGTTGAGCATTTTTTTTTTCTGCTGGGGGGGTGTTTTTTTCTCGGTTTCAATCCTCACCGCGCGGGCAGCTTGGCGTACGATCACTGGGGTTTGGGCTCGAGCTTGAGCTAACCATATGGTACTGGTGTTGTAAGAAAGCAGCAGCTCGGGCTTGCTCGTGTCATAATGGCTGCTCGTCGTCGGGCCGCTGAGGCCGATCTCGGGGATGACTCAAGCCCCGAGGATGGCGTCGAACGTCAGCGCGTAAGTCTTCGCTGCTTGCGACTAAAGCGTCTGCCCTAGTCCTTCTGGAACGTTTGCACACATTCTTGCTTGTCTGGGATTTCAAGCTTTCATTTTCCTCCCGCTTTTTGCCTGCATTCTTTTGGCAGCGACGTACCGCACCATCGGAGTCAGAGCACCTCTCGGCTACGCAAGGGGGTGACATTTCGAGTCAGGCCTTTGACGGTGGTGATTTGTCCGACGAGAATGATTCTGCTGGCACTATTACCAAGCTTGACTTGACAGACTTTATGAATCATCGGTCTGGCTCACTGCTGCGCGTGCCGCCTGGGTCGGAGCCTCAGTCCTCGTGCCTGCTCTAATTCAGGCTGGATTGTGGGCATGTGCTTTCTTAGACGCCTCACATTGGACTTTGGACCCAATCTCAACTTTATCTGTGGTGAAAATGGCAGTGGCAAATCTGCCATTCTTACGAGCATCATCCTTGGTCTGTCGGACCCTGCTCCAAAACCGCACCAATGTGCATACTCAGCTTGGGAGCGCGTTGAGCGCGAAGGCAGCATGTGCTGCGTCATGCCAAACTGGCTCATCTTGCCTGGCCTCGCGCACGCCCGTAGGCCTCGGTGGCAATGTGGGTGCCACCGGTCGTGGCTCAACATCCGCTTCGGCCTTTATCCGACGCGACAAAGACGTGAAATCGGCCATCGTTCGTATTACGCTCAACAATGTTGGCACCAAGGCCTTCCGTCCCGAAGTCTACGGTGAAAAAATCCACGTTGAGCGGGAAATTCGCAAGGAAAGCAGCACGTACGCTGTCGCCTTGTCCTTGACCCGCTTTCAATCTCTGGCAACGCCTGCGGAATGTCTCCGCCCTCATACTTCATGGGCTCGCAGCTACAAAACTCTCAATGCAAAGTTGAAAGTCGTCGAGGCTCAAGCCCGTCAAGAAATTGCCAACATGTGTGAGTGCTTTCAGATTCAGGCAAGTAGTATCCTCCCTTGGTTGCCACTCAGAGCCTGTCTGCAGAACTGCTGTTGTGAAAATAACCCTCTTTCTTCGCTTCAGGTCGACAATCCCGTTGGAATCCTGACCCAAGAAGCAGCCAAGAGCTTTCTGACTTCAAAAAAACCGGCTGACATGTTCAAGGTGAGGCTGACTCGCTGCCCATGCTCTTCGCCCTTGCGATGCTGCGTTGCGCCATGCCTCGAAATCAATGCACGATACACCCTTTCCGCAGATTTATCGTCGAGCCACCCAGCTCGAGCAACTCATCGAACACTATCAGAAGACCAAGGATAACTTGGACAAAACTCGCGAATCCTTGAAGGGCAGCCATAACGTACGTTCATTTTGCGTCACATCTCATCTCTGCTGTCATGCCTTTCCTTGTCATCCTGATGGGTTGCTGTTACCCTCCCCGTTGGTACAAAACGAGGACACAGGACCTCGCTCAGCTGAGAGCAGATCTTGAAGCTAAAACGAAAATTGCGAAGGTATCAAGCCTTTCCTCGCTTGGTGTTTTGCTTTTGCGAGTGACAGTGTGTCCATTTTCTCGCTCTCACCAAATGAACCACTGCCAACTCGACCAGGAGTTTGAAAGACTGGGGGATGCAGATCGCGAGCTCGAGTCTCTTCTGCTGCAAAAGGCCTGGTCGCACATTCGAGATCAGCGCCAGGTGCGATCGCCCCCTGTTACGTCGTCCTGCCTCCCTGCGATTAGTCACCTGCAGTGTCGCGAGGACTCGTTACCATATCAAAACTTATTGCTGGCCATCTTTTAGGTTCTGGCAGAGTCGCAGGCAAATCGAGCACAGCACGACAACAAGATCAATCAGTTGTCGAAGAAGAAAGAGGCGCGCCAGGCAAGTCCAAAAGCAGTTCATCCGTTGTGAGCCTCAATGTACACGAGTGGCGTTGGGACAAAAGACATCTCACGCGACTATTGCCTTTCTTTTCTGCCATGCGATGCCTGAAATTTCTAGGCCCAGCTAGCGGAACTTGAGACCCAGCGGACGAAGAGCCTGGCCGAGATTAACCTCAGCAACGCCAACCTCCAGCAGCTCGAGCAGACACAGAAAGACATGCGTCCTCATTTGCAAACAGCCACACAGGACTTCAAGACCGCCAAGGTGCCTTTTTGACGCAATCTTGCAGTCTCCTCAACCTCTTGTCCTCAAGCCTCCACTGCTGCTTACTCATCACTCCGAATGTCCACCCAGCTTGACGTCAAAAAGTTGAAGGATGACATTCTGCTGAAGCAACGCGAAAAGCAGGAGATTTCGGACACCATGCAGCAGCGGAAAGAAGCCTCTTACGATCAACAGGTGCAACAGACACGCGCAGGCTCGAAGAGTAATGAATGCTTTCCTGATTCCTTGAATATGACACCCTGTCCAATATCAGGAAAAGCTGCGTAAAGTGGAGGAGCAAATCAATTCATGCGAGGCCAGAATTGCGCGGCACACTGAGGAATCTGATGCGGTTCGTGGCCTGCCGTTGAGCAATTTCACTCCGGTTTGCCTTGGTGCATTTGTTTTGTTTGGACCCTTTTCTTATATAACATATGCATTGTGTCGTACAACTTGCGCACCTCTGGTTTCTCAGGCTGAAAAAGCGATCGAGCAGCTGAACGGGGAGATTGATGAAGCCGCTGGTTTACTGGAGACACGCAGCGCCTCGTGCCGCGAATTGCAGCACCAGCTTGACCAAGCCACAAAGCGTCTGCAAAGCCTTCGAAAGAATCAGACCAACTCGGTCGGTGGAAAGCGTTCTTGACCAAGAGGGCAGGTCAACGCTCAATAACCATTGCTCATGTTGGTTTCAACCGCCCTGGCGTGTCGCGTTTCTCTCAGGTGGCGATTTGGGGGGATAGCTTCCCGCGCATCCTCAAAGCCATTGATGCCCAGTCTGGTTGGCATCACAAACCCCTTGGCCCTCTCGGCCAGTACATCGCGCTGTCCGATCCAAAGTGGGCCATGGCCGTGGAGGTGATGCTGGTAAGTCAAGAAGATTCCCCCCGTGTGCGCACGCTCCTGTCTTTTGAAGCCATTGGATTGAAGCCATTGGATTAAAGCCATCAGTTTGAAGCCATCGGCAAGCCTCAGCGCCGTTCATCCTGATGGATATTCCGTATATGCTCTTGATATTGAGTAGCTCACGATTTGCGTTGATGTCGTGCATCTTGTAGAGCAACCATCTGACTTCGTTTTTGGTCCATGACGAGCATGATCAAAAGCTTCTGCTGTCCATATTACGCCGCGAGAGTCGCAATCGCATGCCCACGATCACCCGCACAAAGTTTTCATCCTTCTTGCCTGAACGCCGCTCAATCGGGCCTGGCCTGATGGTGAGGCGCTGGCCGACAAAGCTCAAATTTGCTCAAAAGCCTGGCCATTATATGTGCTCTCATCTGTATGTGCGATGCCATTTTGTTTTAGATGGTGGCAGATGTGGTGAAGATTAGTGATCCAACTGTTGAGCGCGTTTTAATGGAACGCAAGATTGACGTCACAGCTGTCTTTGAGGATAAGCAACGGGTGCGCTGGAGTCTCACAGAGGATGTTTGATTGGCGTAGCCGTGCAGCTTCATGCAGCCCCTAATCTTGTCACCGCTTGGCACTGGCAATGCATGCAGGCTTTGACGTGCTGTCATGGCTACGATGTGGCTCCCGACCTCAAGGGCGGCTATCTCTTAAATGGCGATTTTGTACGTCGTGCACGGATGACACATGTGTTCCGCCCTTGGCCCCCACGTGAAGCATAACTAGTCAATCTTATGATTGTACCTCTCAGGTTGGCACTGGTCCAGGCAAGCCTTACTACTCCAATGCTCGGCGACAAGGCGCGCGCCGTTTGGGTGTGGACGTGGGCGATGCTATGCATCGCTTGAAGGAGGAGATCCAACGGTCGGTTACCCCAAAGTTGAACCTATTTTTTTTTTTTTTTTTTTCAAATTTTTTATGCCAAACTTCTGCATGATGATTATCGGTTACGGTCTTTTTGATCGAGGTAGGCTCAAGACTAGCCTTCAAGAAGCTGAGGCACACACTGCTCAGGTTCGCAACAACCTGGACAAGTTGCGAAAGGATCGGCAAGGTATATTTCAGCTGACAACCGGCCTTCTTTTGCTGCCTACGAAGGCGAGTGTGGCAAACACGCGAATTTTTCTCATACGCGTTTTATTTCTGCAGCACAAGAGAAAAGCAAAGCCACGGCGTTTCGGGAGAGTCAACGCCTGTCCAAGATGTTGGTTGAACTGCGCGAATCACGCGTGCAAGGGGACCAGGAGCTCGACGTTTCGGTTTATGTACGTCGAATCCTCAGCCTGACGAGCAGATGACCTCGCCTGCCTCTCCAACATGTGGCCTTACTATGTGACCCGACTTGTCTGTTGCATTCAGTCGAATAATATTGAGCAATTAAACCAAGAGCTGTCTGAGCTCAGGGAGCAACTTGACAAGGCGCAGGAACAAGCTCAGCAGAAGGAGAAAAAGCTTTTGAGCCTCAAGGCGAGCATGAGCGCAAGCAACGATCAGATGCAAGAAATTCTGAAGCGTTCCGACACAATCAATGTTCGTAGGGCTTTTTGTCGCGTCTTTGGTCCAACCTGAGCAGTGCAGCAGTCGCTTCTGCCTCTTCGTGCTGCTTTGCCCATCTCCACCTCGCTCCTTTCTTGACCCTTCTCTCGTTGATGCAAATGGCTGCACCTATCGTGTCTTGGCGTGCTCAGCTACAAACGGAGAAGATTGAGGAGGAAATGGCAAATATTAGCTCCCGCATTGGCCTTTACGACAAGCAGATTGCCGAGGTATGTCAAAGCGAGTAACCATGGACCAGTGCCTTTCAAACCGCATCACAGGAGGTTGACCTTGTTCTGGCGGCGTGCAGGAAACACGAGCCCGAACGCAAATTGAGGAACGCATTGCAGAAATTGAGCGGTCTATTGAGGTGGGTATCTTCCTCAGCCTGGACTGCTGATTCGGATCAAGTCACGTTTGGGCGGCAAGGCTGGATGTCTGCTGTGCGAAGGCTGATTCCTTCCGAAGTCTTTCATATCTCATCGGTCATCAATTTCTGCATTTGCAGGTTACCAAGCAGGATTTGTTAACAAACGGCGTGGAAGAGGTTGAGGTCACTTGGGCGACGGACGTGTTGGACCAAAAGATTGTGGCTTTGGAACATCAGAAGAAGGATATGCAATCCCGGTGCGTGCGAAAAGAGAGGTCTCGCACGTACCAGATCTTGCTCACGCAGGTACTTGTTTGCATTCCCCCCCCCCTTTTCCGTCGTACAGGCTGGGTACACGGGAGGAGGCGATTCAAAACGAAACAGATGCACAAAAGCGACTGGAGAATGTAGAGTCACGCTACAAAAGTCTCGAGAAGTTTGCCCGGGTCGGTGGCCCCTTCAACTGCACTCACTCGCTCTTCTTCACGTCGATGAAGCGATGGTGCCTTGTTGTCGTGCATCTCAACCTTTTTCTTTGGTTTGAATAGGAGTTGGACAAGTCGCTGGAGCGCCGCATGAGTCAGCTGTCTACGTTTTGCTCTTACTGCAGCGACCGTGTTCAGGTTGGCCCAAACCTTTTCCACCTTCTTCTATATTGTCATCATCTTCTCCCACGCCACTACCATGGCGAGGCACTGGTGTTGGCTCTCCATGGGCCTGGGAATTCTAATACTTCCTTGTCCTGACTTGCTGAGCATAGAAGGTTTTTCAAGTGCTGCTATCCCATCGCAACTACTCGGGCAGTCTGCGGGTCGATCATCAGGCGGGCACATTGCATCTCAATGTCGCGCCAGGCCACGAGGTGGCTAGCACAAAATCCTTGTCCGGTAAGCGCGCGCGCATGTGTTGTGAGATGACTCGCTGTGTGATCTGACATCGTTGCATATCGTATAAACGACCGCGACCCCATGCTAGGTGGCGAGCGTTCTTTTTCGTCGATTTGCTTCATCATGTCTCTGTGGGAGCTCATGGAGGCACCCTTTCGATGCCTGGACGAGTTTGATGTCTACATGGTCAGTGAAGAAATCCTCTTATTTGCTGCAGTCTCACCAAGCACGGGTGGCTGGTACACACTGCCTGCTGACCTTAACCTCTCTCGTTTGAATGGATGATGTAGGACATGGTGAACCGCACTGTGGCTATTGCCGACCTGGTCCAGCTTGCCACCAGCAAGAGTAATCGCCAGTTTATTCTCCTGACACCGCTGAAGATGATCCCAATGTTGGTAGCCCCATCCACTGATGTTATTTGTCTTCCTCATCGTGTGCTTGCGCTTTTTGTGATACCCTTGGCTTGGGTTTTTCCTCTAATCTTCTGAACCGCTCTACCCGCAGTGCGCCGCAGCATATGGACAGAGTCAAGATTTTCAAGCTCAGCAAGCACGACGAATCGCAGAGCACATTGCAGATGTAGGGCCCTTCGCGCCAGGCAGCTTAATTTGAAAATGACACGATATCCGATGCAGCTCATCCTTCACTCATCCTTCAACACACAAAAAAAAACAAAAAAAAAAACAAAAAAAAAAAAACAAAAAAACAAAAACAAAAAAAAACAAAAAAAAACAAAAAAACAAATAAAAGTCAGAAAAAGTTGATGATTGTCACTGCCTTCGATGGTCCCGCTTCGCCTGCATTTCTGAGCTGAGCTGAGCCCCTGAGCCTGGCGGTAGCTTGGCCGACCTCGGCTGCCTTTGTCGAAGCATTGGCAAGCTTGCTCCCCTGTATCCTATCCAGAGTCATTGGCGCGGAGAGTGGCAGGGCAGCATGCGGTTGAATGAAGGTTGAAGGTTGATTGACTCAGCTGTCTGCGTGCCCTGCTTGGGCTCGGCGTGGGTGCCATTCCTTGCTCTCCCCGGCTCGTGCACCCCCTTCACAAACTGTGATTGGTGGTGACCGCCAGCATGTGGGAAAGCAGTATTGCTTATGGCAATAGCGATGAGCTGCCAGACGACTATACCGATTTGGCCGAACGAGTGGCTACCGATATTCTCAACGCGACGCTCAATGCAGACCTTGAGGCAATGCTGAGTCGGGCCATGTCTCGCGATAGAAACAACGCTTTTGCCACGGCATTGCTCAAGGACCTGGTCAAGGTGCTCGTCATGGGTCAAGAGCCAAGGTATGTGTCCGTTCTGATAGGCCACATGCGCTCCTTCACGAGCCTTTATTTTGCCAAGTGGAAAAGGTTGTGTGAGCCTCTATTGCCCACGCCCAGTCGGTAACGCGATGAGCTCAGACATCGGTGTTGATGCATTGGCGTGGCCCGATCCTTCTCATAGGAGCATCTCCACCAAGGCTGCTGAACAGCAACTGGCCCGACACATCCAGGCTGGTCAATGGCAGGGCAACCTGAATATTCCACAGCTCATCGTCCTGATTCATGTGGTGGAGGTCATGGCCCACCACGAAACGTTGCCGCTGGCGTACGCCATTGTATCCTTCTGCCTCAACTTAAGCGTGTGCTATCACGATGGCGTCCGCGAGGCAGCTTACGCGTTTGCCGAGGCTCTCTGTCAACGATCGCCCCCAGCCATTCTCAAACTCATGGCCTTGATTAGCCTCAACCCTGACCACATGGACATGGTCCTACCCCTGCTGCAGCGCGTATACGTGGCCAAGCCTCAGCTGCTGCAGGTGGTTCAGGACGCCTTGGTATTACAGCACGACCAGTTTCCCCTCTTGGCCCATCGCGTTCTACTTCGTTGGCTGGCCCTGACACGGGTACCGCTGCTCGATGTCACAACATCCCTCTACGCTGCCATTGTAGAGTATGTTCGCCAACCACTGACCATGGTCGAGGTTACCCTTTGCAATTCGGCGGTGCGCGTATTAGAGGCCCACTTGCCCTTCATATGGGCACAATACCACGAGCGAACGTCGCTCCAGCAGCAGCTCGTCCACCGCGTTGTGGCGGTTGTTTTGCACAGCTACGCCGAGGGTGGTCCGCCACCATGCTTGACGCCAGAATCAGTAGACACGGACTTGGCTTTGCGCTCCAAACCAGTTCCCACAACGCTACCGCGCGTGCGCTCTGCGTCGAGCCTTGCGTTGGATAGCCCCAGTACCCATCTTGGCAGCTTTTCCACCGCGGACAATCGACCGCGCGCCCGCAGCTTACGCTCTCAGCACGATGAGCTTGTGGGTGGACTCGAGCTGGATGTCTCTTCCCTGGCCATGTCGGCAGCGCCGTCCCCAGCCAGCAGCCCCCAGCGATCTGCTGCAGCACAGTCACCCGCAAAGTCCGTAGACGCGAGTGACCTGCAAAGCGAGCCCGGCGATGGTGTGCAAGCCGAGCCCGGTGTTGATCAGCACAGCGTGCTCCGTGTTTTTGCTTACATTTACACAGTTATGCCGGGGCCTCTGCTCACGTCATTGCGGGACTACAAGCACCAGTCCGCATCCCAACAAAAATCTCTGAACCGGTTGCTTGCCCATTTCAAGCTGAATCCGGTCTTGGCCATTTCCGGTGCAGCCGCTTACAAGCAACTTTGCGCCCTTTCCCCGGCTGAGATCATGGAGCAGGCCATGCGGCTCTCCGGCCTGCGTACTGACGGCCAAGACGGCGAGGAAGGGGATGTCATGGCCTCTCTTTCAACCCGTGATGCCCATTTGGAAAAATTGCAGGTGTGTTTGCTTGGCTAGACCGGTCGGGCTCTCTTGGCTGGCTCTTTGGGAGCTACGTGAGGCGCCGCTCTCATGGTGTGGCCTTGGCCCTTCAACTGCATGGTCGTCTGTGTGTACATTCTTGGATTCAGGATGATCAAACGGCCCTGGAGCGCGCATCAGCGTGGGAGCTGGTGGGCGCATTACGACAAGAAATTGCCAAACTACAACACGAACTGGCTGCCAAGGTTTGCTGTTCTTGCTTTGTCGAGATTCTGAGTCACCTGTGAGGTCTGGGCCTCACCTTGTACCGATTGCCAATGAAAACCATTCCCCTTTGTGTTCGTCAACAGAGTCTCGAAGGTAGTCCGCTGCACGACATGCTCGTACAGTCTGGGACCGAGATGATAGAAGTGGCCAAGTATGACAAAATGAACCTTGCGCACAAGAAGCTTGAACAGGATTTGCGCGCCAACCTCTCTGCGTAGGTCAAGTCTGCCATCTTGACTTTGTTCACCTCCATGCCCGGCACGTTATTTTCATTCCCGCCTTTGTGTGCTCGTTATCTCCTGTGACAGTGCACTGCAAGAGGCCAATGAGCTGAAACGAGAGTTGGCTCTGACACGGGAGCGCTCCTTTTCCACCTCAAGCGTGGCATCTCAGCCTGAAGCCGAGCTTTTGCGTCGAGACATCCGTGCCCTTCAAGAGACTATTGCCGATTTGCAACGCCAGCAAAAGTGTGTCCCACAAATGTTGCCACCTCATGTCCACTTGCCTGCGGCCCTGACACTGTGTCCCAATGGTGTTCCAACACCCCAAATCGTCCTCAGACAAACAGAGCCTGTGCAAGAAAGCGGGCAAATGGAGTTTCCAGCTGCTCTTGCCGAGCCAGCCCTTCGGAAACAGCTTCTTCTGCAACGCGAGGTCAGGCTCTGATTTCTGGTCCCACTCTTCTTTCTTCTCTCTCTTTCTGTTGTGCAAACTCAATTAATATGCTTTCGCTTGTATATCCAACTAGCGCTTGGATGGCGTCCAGTATTTGTTGGAAGAGCATGTCAAGGGTTTATCAGCCCGCGTGCAGAGCACGCTCGCTGCCAATTTGGCCCTGGTGTGTTGCTCAGCTCTGTTGACTGTGGGCACATGGCCTCTTGCTTATTGTTTGCGAGCAGGCTGAATGATTTTTTTTTTTGTCGCAGGAGCGCACGATCGTCGCACGCGAGGCTAGTCTAGCCCTGTCTCAGGAAACCGTTCGCAAGCTGGTGGGTCAAGATCTGCCACTCCCACAGGAGCTCTCACCTTTTCTCACAGAATTTGGGCGATTGCTGCGAGAGCACAGGAGGAGACAGTTGCAGAGCAAGAAAAGCTGCTGGATGAGAGTCGCACTCAAGCACAATACGCGCTTCATGCTGGCAAACAACGCTGTGATATGCTTGAGGTACAGGAAGTCAGCTAGTTTGTCTGTTGGGGACGGATATCATAATCCTGCATTGGTCGAGCCACTCATTTGCTTCTTGGTATACGCTAGAATATCAACGCTCAACTGGAAAACGACGTTTTGCGCTTGCAAGTGCAATTGCACGCCCACCTACCAAACCCGCATTCCGAGGCTACAACACATGAGTAGCACTTGCCTCAACCCAATGTGTGTGCGTATTCGGTTTCGTGGTACCCTGGCTAGTTTTTGGTTTGATATTGTATTGCGTTTTGCAGCCTATGAACTAACATGTAAAACACCCAGCAGGCAAGGAATCAACCTTCAACCGTTCTCTCAGGATTGCATAATCTTGTTTGTTTTTAGTGTGAGGTTGCGCACACGAAAAACTCTTGACACAACAAGGGCTCGACTACGCACAAACACAGCATGTGCACACGTGGACAAGCAGCATCGCAGATCAGGGAACACAAGCCAACAAGACATTCATTCTGTCACTCGCTGCACGACATTGGTTCGGAAAAAAATCTGAAGCTTCAGCCCCAAAAGGGGGCAAAGAGAGGATGTAAGAGGGGCGGGGCGAGAGGTCAAGAGTCACAGGCGGGCGCAAAAGCAAAACTTGATCATAGCCATGACTTAAACGACGTTCATGTCTTGCAAGTAGGAGACACGCTCCTGGAGCTCCTCACTACTGCATACTTCAACGTCCTCTTCTTCCTCGGCGCGTCGCTGGGGCTTGCGCTTGCCACCAGCGAATGACGCGCTTCGTAGACGACCACCCTGCGAACAGACAGAAGGCGTGAGTGGAGGAAAGGTCGCTTGTGCCTTCATGGAGGCCTTGCGTTGCAGAAAAGCGTTGCAGAAAATCAACAACCCGGCCTGGTAGCGTATGCAGCAGCGATGCGCAAGTCAGCAGAGCTACCTGTTCCAGTTCCTCCATCATTGAGTTGTCAAAATCATTCATAATATCTTCTTGGAAACGCATGAAATCAGGATCGTTCATCATCATGTCCAGCATGGCGACGGCCTCAGCACGGCCCTTGATGTACACTGCAGCGTCCCAGGCGCACAGAAGCGGCACCATGGTGCAATGAGTTGAAGTCTCAAGGGCAGAAGCTGCCATGATGAAACCAAATATATACCTTGTTCACCCTCATCTGTTTCCAAAACTTCATCCTTGTCCTCTTCTTTTGAATCTGCTGGCGCAGCACCGGCTGGCGGACCAGATGGCGGTGGCTGCGTCGGTGGTGCCACTGGTTTACGGAAAAGTGAAATAAGAGTCAATGCCAAAAACGTGGTTTTTGGCGGGGATGATGGAGGCGTGGAATGAGCGTGGTGGTCCGAAAGAGGGCGGGGTGTACCTGAAGGAGCAGCAACTGCTGCCGAAGGGGCGCTTGCCTTGTCCTGCGCAGCAGCTTCGGGACGGGACGCACGCGCACGCTCGCGAGCTGCAATGGCTTCTTTCTTCAACTGCTCGCGCTCATCCAAAGCCGCCTGTGCCATCCAGCGCAACAGACGAGGAGCATGGCAGCGTGAGGGATCCACTTTCAAACAAGACCAGGAAGAAAGAAGAGTCAAACCAAAGACAGACACCAAAACAGAACAAAAATCAAGAAACTATAGAGCATAAAGTTGCAAGAGTGCCCTCTTGCCAGAGGATGGCGAGGCGAGGACTTGGCCGTGGCCTACCTGAATGGCTTGTTGACGCATGGCGCGATGCTCAGGGGGTGGGTTTTCCCAATTGTGCACCGTTTGTACGTACAGGCTATGATAGCCGACGCACATGTCCAAGATACGCTGGCAAGTCTTGGCGCGATTGAAAAATACGCTGAAATCCTTTGTGGCCTTGTCATGAACCTAATAATGTCGTGTTTCGGGCAAGAATGAGGTCACTGCGAGTTGGGCATGAAAGCGAGCATGACAGGCCATGGGGTCGGGGCCCTGGGCCGGCGTTGACGCACACAAATGGTAAACTTTTTGTCGGCAAACGCCAGTTCGCTACATTCGGCCCAACTAAAAGTGACCACCGGTTTTTGCATGTTGTTCAGACGAAAGACGTAGAGACCGCGAGGGCTGACGCCCAGAACAAGGGGTGTTCCATTCTTGTTCTTGATGTCGTAGCGAAGCATAGCAAATTGGGGGTGCTTCTGCACCACCTGCATGTATTTGAGGACGGCAAGATGGCGGAGGATGCCGCGAAGGGTTTTCCAGACGCGGATGACCTCTTCGGCCCAGAAGGTCTGCATGTTGGCGACGTTGATGTTGCTGGTACGAATAATGTCGTCCTTGTTGGCCTCAGGGATGAGCTGTTCCTTGGCCATGAATTCTGGGGTGTGCTTGGTTTCATCGTAATCGCCTAGCACAGCCTGCAGCGCCAGGGATGCGAGGGTGAAGGCATCCTTGTTGGTGATTTCCAGCTCTCCTTTGATGACCGATTGTCGACTAGACAAAAAAGTCTGGTACAGGGTAACGTATTGCAGGACCTGACAGCGTTGCGAGCCAGCCAAGCCGTGAGATAGAAGCCAAAAAGAGAGGAGGGAGAGCATTCATATTCAAAGTACAAAGGGCGGCGGCATACGTGGGTGACGTCAACGGGGAAGAAGCGGATGCGAAACTCCAGCTCATAGTGGTCGGCGTCGGCTGGGCGGGGGATGTCCTGTTTCAAAAACTTTTTCTTCAAGTCCACCCAAACCATTTCGTTCTTTTGATCGTAGTACATCAGACCAAAATAGTACTTTTCAAACATCTTGATAGGCAGAGCAGCGCAGGGCCAGTGAGGGTCCACGACCACTGGACGAGAAGGTCAACGGGAAGATGAAAAGGCATGCGGGAAAGGAAAAGTATCGACCCACCTTGAGCATAGTGCAAATTTGGTTGAGAAAGTCGTCACCCGTGGTCGAGGGCTCAGCGTACAGCTGAAGGGTTTCGCCGTCGAGGAGCTTGACGAGTACGAGAGCGGGCCCGCTCTTGGAGCTGCGAGTGGCTTTGGTGCGTTTGACAAAGTCGGGCATGCTGACCTTGTTGAGCGGGTTGTCGAGGCGATCACCCGCCACGCCCCCGGCCCGAGCCTGAGCGCGGTGTTGCATTAGTTCGAGCTCCGAGTCGTTCTCTTGTGTCAAGGCCTGGGGTTGGCTCGTGTTTTTTTGCATTGAGGCACGACCGGTGCCAAAGGCGATAGAAGCCAAAGACATGACATTCATCCACGTTTTCATGTCTCGTTCGTCATCAGCTGCAAACAAGTAGGTCCGGGCCCCAGATTGTTGTCGGTTGAAGACCTGGGATGCAGAGGGCAGGCAGGTGCAAGAGTAGGTCAAAACACACATGGCAATGAGGGATACCAGCCATCACATCGACTCGGGCCCTTTTAGAGTTGCCAAGTGGCTGGAGTCACGAGGGTTGACGCGTTGTCTGGCCACCTGGTGCTCAGGTGTGAGAGTGTTGATTGGGGTGGTAGGGCGTGACAGCAAGGCGCGCGCTGACCTTGAAGGCCCAGGGGCGATTGGATTCTGTCTTGGTGGCGCGAGTGACGGTATAACTGGGGAGAAGGATCATGCCAAGAGCGGACATGTCCTTGGGTCCCTTGAAATAGTAGAGGCAGTTGTCGTCGGTCAGCACAAAATAGCGCTTTTTCCAGTTTTTGACAAAGTTAGCACTACCAGTTTTGTACAGCCAGCCCATGGTAACGGCTGAATTGGCCAGGTCGGCCACGGCTTTGGTGCGCGCGGCGACACGGAGTGGGTCATTCTTCTTGTCCACACGGGCCTTTGACCTTTTGGCCGCGTCAAGTGTCATGGTCGGTGTTGGGCCAGTGCTGGTGGCAAGGGCGGGGGCAGGGGCGCTGGCCGACGCTGCGGGAGAAGCGTCAGCGTCATCGCCATCGTCCTCGTCGTCCTCTGAAACATAGGCTTCAGCGCCGGTACTGCCTTCGGTGGAGAGCTGTTTGATGCCCTGGGGAGAGCGTGGTAAGAATGAGTTGGGGGGGGGGGGGGGGGGGGGGGGAAAGGAAAAGGAACTTTTGTTTA